TATATATATATATTGTGTGTGTGTGTGTGTGTGAAAACAAAAGAGTAAGGAGAATCTACACATGATTTTTATTGAATTAGAAAAAGCTTACGATTAGGTTTCAAGAGAAGTCCTTTGGAGAGTTCTAGAGAAGAAAGACGTTGATATGACTTATATTCAAGTCAGTAAAGATATGTATATTAGAGTTGATACTTTTGTTCGAACAGAAGGAGGATTGACCAAGTATTTTCCATTTCAGTTGGATTACATCAAGGATTTACTTTAAGCCTATATATTTTTGCTTTGGTTATGAATGCTTTTATTGGTTATTTATAGGAGGATGTACCTTGGTGTATCGTTTTTCCTAATGATATCCTTCTTGTGGATAAGACTAGAGAAGAGTTTAAGAAAAACTTGAATTATGCAGGTCTACATGGGATTTTTAAGGTCGTCATTTGAGTAGATCTAAAACCGAATGCATGAAATGTAGTTTTAGTAGTATTAGCTTTAGTGGCAGATATGTAACTTGGGTGATCAATTCTAGGGCTGTCAAAGCGGCTCATCGCTTGCGAACAGTTCGTGTTCGGCTCGTTAAAAAACTTGTATTTGATTTGTTCGCTAGACAAACTTGTCGAACACGAACAATTTTTTTTTGCGCTTGATATATTAACGAGCCTAACACAAATAAAAAATTGTGCATTAGTGTTCGACTCATTTTGACGCAAAATAATTAAATTATATTTAAATAATTTAATTGGCTACAAGGCTATAAAGATTTATAATCAATTAAAATTATTAATTAAAATATATTTGAATGACACTTTAATATAAATAATAAAATTTACATCTAGCCCCAACCCGTAACATCAAACAACTGCGTGACTCGGGTTGTCAAAACGATTCCCGACCAGCTTGTGTCGGCTCGTCAAGTATACGAGTTGAACATGAACAAATTTTTTGTACGAAATATATACGATTCAAACATAAACAATGATATTTTTTAACGAGCCAAACACGAGCTGAGTCCGGCCTCGCTCGTGTTCGGCCCGTTTACACCTCTAATCAAATCATTAGAAGGTGTGAACATTTTATTTAGGGAACATTTTAGGTATCTCGGGTCTATTGTTCAAAGTGATGGCGATATAGATGGGATGTTCTTAGTAGAATTCAAGTTGGTTGGTTGAAGTAAAGGAATGCATTGTGCCTATTGTGTAATAGGAAAGTACCACTTAGACTTAAAGGAAAATTTTATAAGATGTTGATGAGATCTGCAATGCTCTATGTCGTAGAATGTTGGCTTTTAAAAGAGAAACTTAAAACAAAGTTAAATGTTGCTGAGATGAGAATTTGGGAAATGATTATATCCGTGATAGGGTTGACACTTAGAGACAACATGGGAAATGATTATTTTTCTGATAGGATTGGTGTAGCTCTAGTGGCAGATAAGATTACAAAGATTTGTCTTAGATGGTTTGGTCATGTTAAACGTCGACCATCTGATGATCCAGTTAGGAGAGTAGATATGTTAGATTCGATTTATGTTAAGAAAGATAGAGGTAGGCTTAAAAAGATGTGGGCATATAGTATAAAAAATGAACTTAATCTATTAGAATTAATTGAAAATATGACACTCAATAGAATGTAATGGAGAAAAAAAATTCATGTAGCCGACCTTACTTAGTGGAATAAAGCCTTATTGTTGTGTGTATATATATATATATCCAAATTTAGCTATATTTTGAGTTTTAAATTTACCAAAGTACATTATGTGCTTTTAAAAATGCCTAACTATTTAAATAAGTAATTAAATATATCATCAACATTGTTTGGCATTATGAATGCTCGTTTTCCGTTTATTTCTAATGAGTATTGTTTATGTGTTAATCTATTCTTTGCAAATTATTTTGAGCAACTTTTATCCATATGACTTAAGTTCGCCCTTTTTGTTCAGCCAAATCCTCTAAAATTGATTTTTTGAACGTTCTTAATTGCCACATTTTCTATTGTTTGTTGTTTTTGTTCAAACTACCTAAGTTTAATTTGAGACTTTATCTTTTAAAAGATATCACTCCAACTTATTCTCTATTGTAAAAAATTGTTAATTTATCCCTAGATTGAAATGTATATATGATTTAACTTATTTTTCTTGGCGAGCATCCATGTTTATCCAGCCCCTCAAGCAGATTTAACATCACCCATGCCAAATTGTCATTTACACAAAAAACATGCTACCTGTTTCTTCTTTCCGGTCATGGAAGACACTTGAAGCAATATGTTGTCAATTGTAATTGTTCCGGAGTTCTGTGAGGCACTATGGCGAAACCTTGTCTTGCTTAGATACATAGGGGACGATGTCATGGCTTTAACAACATTGGCAATAGCTAACAATGTGATCATTCTCTCTTAACTTAAAACCGATGAAATCCAGATAACTGTTCTCGAATCTCTTGCTGACAAAGCTGAATCCTCCATTTTATTCATTTATAATGAATTACATAAATATTGTGCATTCTATTCTGTTTATGCTTGAAAGGCGGTTGCTTCTGATTAGTTCTATGTTTCATGTTGCATAAGTTTTTGTTTTTAGATTTCCCATAATATGGGAAATTATTGTTTTAAACTCTAGTTAACCTCAAGTATTCTTTGAATTTTTTTTTTCTTATTGTAATGCAGTTGGAAATATCTTGTACTTTAGTTGATATTTGTTGCTCGCATCGACAACTATTTTTTACTTTATTGTGTGTTGTTTGGCACACAAGAAAGTCATTGCTAGAGATGTGCAAGATTCTTCACAAGCGGAGGTGATGCACACCGTATAGTCTTTCTATTGCATTGTTCTTGCTCTTGTACAAACTAATAATGTGATATGTTAATCTTTGAAAAGCAAATTTTTGTTTTGTTAATTGAGACCTTAGTTAATTAATGCATCGCTATAATTATTTAGTGAGTGTGCTGTCTGTAAATGGAAGGTTGAAAGTTACAGTTTTGCATGGAAACTAAGGGTCTACAATTAATGAAGTATATTGTCATTTTCCTTTAGTTTGAGGTTTTTGTGGGCAGTGATGTATTTTAAGACCAAGTGGATGTGCAACTTGTCCTGCAATTTCGATTGTCTGTCTAATTATAGCAACTATTATAAGTGATATGTCCTAAATATTCTTTATAAGGTATTATGCAGATCATTGAATTGAATCCCAAAAACCTTTGTCTCAACTCTACATGCTTGGAAGCTCTTTACTTTCTAACTTTATTATAGTGTGGATTAGTTTAGAGTCAATTGTACTGCGTATCTTTATTTCTTTGTTTGTCAACTTTTTTTGAAGGCCAAAAGCTCGACAAGTGGGGCTTCAACAATGAGCTCTGTACCAGAAAGTCAGGTATAAGGCAGCTCATTGGTTTGAATTCTAAACACCTACCTCTCAACTGGACATGCTTGGAAGTTCTTTTCCAACTTTATTATATTGTGGATTAATTTAGAGTCAATTGTATTATATATCTTTATTTCTTTGTTTGTTAACTCTTTTTTAAAGGCCAAGAGCTCATCAAGTGGGGCTTCAACAACCAGCTCTATACCAGCAAGTCAAGTAAGAACGTGCTTTTGATCTGATAAATTGGTGTTTTAAATCTTCATCTTTAGCTTTCGTTGAATGTATGCTTCTTGGTTTGCGCGTGTCCTTTGCAAGAAAAAAATTATGTTTCCTTTCTCCCCTTCAAGTTAACTCTGTAACCTTTCAATTATCGGCACTACTATTTGGCCATAAGTATTGGAAGTTTATCATTTTGATTGGGTGTTCTGAAAACATGGGGCTCTACTTCATGATTAAATTTTCAGAACAAATTTTTTTTGTGAAGTTTTTGGAACCATATTTAGAAATATGCATGGAAATCAGTGCAATTGAAATCACAAGGCACTCATGTTGTTTACCTTTTTAAGTGAACTCAAAATAAAAGGATGAGGAACAACGCAAGGCTATTCATTTGGTAAGTGATAAAGGATTAGATGATATTTCTAGGAAAAAGACCATACTAGATGATAAGAAATATGAATCTAAAAAACAAAACAAGAAAAAGAAAGTTGAAGGCCACCACCTTCTTTTCCAAAAAGACTTTAAACATAGAATCTTGATGATTAATTCTCTAAGTGTCTATAAGTGTTCAAGAAGCTCACTTTTAATATCTCATTTACGGGTGCTTTTGAAAAAAATGCCCAATTATATAAAATTCATAAAAATAATAATAAATAATAAAATAAGCTTAGGAAATTTTGAAATCTGGCATTAATAGAAGATGTAGTGCAATGGTTCAAAAAAAACTTACACAAAAAAAGTCCATGAAAATTTATTATACCTTATACTATAGGATTTAGATTTTTGGAAGACATTATATGATCTTGGAGCTAGCTTAAATTTAGTACCATCATCTATTTATTTTCAAATGAGGTATTAGGCTAACCTTAGGGCTAACTTTTGAGAAAAAATAAACATCAAAGAAAATCCAACTATTTCACTTATGATGAATATTTTTCAAATAGTCTAAAACAATGACTATCAAATATAATTAGATATATATCCAAGTTTAGCTTTATTTTGAGTTTTAAACTACCCTAAATAACTAAAAAATGCCTAACTATTTAAATATGTAATTAGATATATTGTCATAATTGCTTGGCATTATGAATTCTTAATTTACATTTATTTCCGTTGAGTATTGTTTGAGGTGTTAATTTATTCTTTACTAATTATTTTGAGCAACTTTTATCCTTATAACCTTAAATTCTCCCCTTTTGCTACCGATTCCTTTAAAACTAATTTTCTTAACTTTTTTAACAGCCACATTTCTATTCTTTGTTGTATTTGTTCAAATAGCCTAAGTTCAAATTGAGTAACTTTTATTTTCAATAGATATCACTCTAACTTTTTCTCAAATGTAAAAATTCCTTAAAGCTATAAATGAACCAATGCACCTGATCAACAACTCGAACCCGACTCAATTAATACTCGATGATTTTTGCTCAAGTTAGTAAATAAATAAGTTTGAATATATATTAAAAACTCGGAACTTAAATAATCAAAATTTGAACATACTCCAACTTTTTTGTCAATGTTCATGAATAAACTCGTTTGTTGTTCAACAAGTAACTTATTAAATTCTTTGTATTGATATCTTCTGTAAATAAAATTTGATTAATTAGAACTTATTTATTAATATATTTAATCATTACGTATTATAATTTAATATTAATATGCACAAAAATTTAATGTTTTTTTTTTTTAAATTTTTAAAATTTCATTGTACTGCTTTTTTTTAGTATTTGTATATTTTATTTGATTGCAAAACGGCTTACTTACAATTATATATTATTTTATTTACTTGGTATAAACTAGTTAGATGCTAATTAAAAATCTATTCAATTGCTTATTTATTTAGATTCATAAAATCATTTATTAATAACCTGATATAAAAATTCAAATACTCGTTTAAAATCTTCACTTTGTTGACCTCATTTTTGGGTGAGGTCTTAATTTTTCTTTTTAGAGCCTAAGGTCTAGCATTAGACTTCCCTTGTTTGACTCTCCTAGAGGACTAGTACATGACCCTTACAATCTAGAAAATTCGAACCACCTTGTCAATTCTTTGAGTCTCGTATAGGCGGTCCCGACTCCTCAGCATGCTGTTGAGTTGGTTAGAACCGACATATGAAGCTCGAGTTGAGTACCTACATGAATAGTAGCTTGTCCTAAGGAAACCTCTCGTGACTCGAATTCTCACTAATGCCGCATTTTACGCACTCACTGCACCACTTACGATGTTGACTTGAATTGACCTGCCCGTCAGCGAACTCGTCCAGACGACCCTGGATGACAAAATGAATCACACAGATGCGTCCGTGACGTCGATTTTAGCTATGAAGGACACTCATATCACTATAGTTCCGCGCGTGAGCAATTAACACGAAAATTGATGCACGTTTTTTTTAGTTAGCAGGGCGCGGGCCTGGGCTCAACCCAGGTTCAACTCAGGTTCGATTTGGGTTGGATGTGGGCTGAGCACGGGCTAGTGACCCCAGCTCATAATTTCAAAATTCAAGTTTACCATTTAATCCCATATTAATTAAATTAATTTTGAAATTATCGTTTACCTAATAAGCATTCCCCTGCATGGAAGGTAATGAATTTCACGCCTAATTCCTGTAACGGATATTCGTGTCTGTATCAATTCATTCGGCCCCTCTCCTCTTCATTCGGAACGTTCGCCTTCCTCCTCTCACTCGACTGAAGAAGCCTTCCTCCCGATCCCGCCACCAAGAGCCTGGCCAATTTTCTTTTCACGCACAACCGAAACCTCGCTCGCCTGCCCTTGCTCATCTGTCTCCCTCTCCCGATCGAAGTTCTTGTGCGCCGCTCCCCTCTCTTGATCGAAGCTCCTGCCCGCTTCCCTCGTTCGACAGAAGCCGTTCCCTTTCCCTCGTGTGATCGAAGCCCCGCTCATCTCAGCCACTCTACACCGAAACTCTCCTCTCGATCCTGCCTCTGCACCGATTCTCCCCAGCTCGATACTCTCCTTTTCACACCGCTGCAACTTCTTCCCTAAGGTGAAGGATTTCCTCTATCTAGTATGCGAAACCTATCTGTCATTTTTTTTTGTTCTTTCTAAAGGGTTTCTTGATCTGATTAAAATTGTGTGGTGTGTTTATGTGATGAAATTGTGAGGTTTTCCTGTGGGATGCTCTTCATGACTTTGGTGGGATTCAGATTCCTTGAGATGGATGGGATTAAGGGAAGTCATTATTAGAGATGTGAATTATTTTTTATTAGTAAAAGGAAAGAGAGAACGAGAGGATGAAGGGAATGAAAGAATTAAAATTACCTTACATTTTTTTTTTTACTGTTTTTTGATTTACATCTGAATTAAATAAAAAGAAAAGAAAAAATCTCGGACCTTCTTTATCGCATTATTCCATTAACAGAAATCAAGATTGACGTTTTTTTTTTTTTGTCTTGATGATTTTCATGGAATTTTATTTAGTGATGCTCAAATCATGTTTGCAAAGGAGTTCCTAAATGGTTACTTGAAACCCCTCAATCCCACACAAAAGCTGCCCTCAAATCCTCTCCGCAGGCATGCATTCTTGCTTTTGGTCTAGGTGGTCAGGTTGGACGATTGTATTTACTGTATTATAGCTTTGTTGTTCTACCTCATTATGAAGTTGTCAAAGCTGTCAGTACATAAGCTTAGTGGGCCTTATTGAGGGTGCTATACATACAAATGCAAAGCAGTTTGCTGCTTCTGTTGAAAGGGGTTGCCAAATGTAATTGATAGATGTTTTGCTGCTTGAGTTGTTTGGTAAGTAACATGCATGGACGTTTTGCCACCCTCTTAAAACCTTGCATAATGGAGCTTGCCCGTGCTCGATTCTATTCAGTTTTCGGCATTTTCATTAGCAATTATTGGTGTTATCCTTAACTGTGATTGACCCATCTATTTTGAAAGTTTGGGATATAGGACTTTATTGTTAACTATCAGTTGATGCTGCCATTGTTTTATTTGTCACAAATGTTCCGATAACAATCACCAAGCAATTGATGCTGCCATTTTTTTTCTTCTTGAACTCGATTCTTGAGCTGTCTGCTTATAATGTTTTAAATTAGGTTTGGACTTTGAGGGATGCAGTGATTCATCATCCCCCATTTAAGAAATTATTTTCTGTACGCAGATTTTGATAGTTTTCATTTTGGCATTTATATGCATACTGGTCAATTCCTATATGTTCGTATATCCAACATCTAAGTTATTGAAATTCCTAGTGACCTTGGTTTTATGCAAATTTGAAGCTTATGTGAGTTAGCTATATACAAACCTGAAATTTATGCAAGCTTGAAATCCATAGGAAGCGAGTAGCATATGTATGTGAACCTTCCTAATGTGTATGTGAACCTTCCTAATGTTCTTTTATGTTCTCCCTGATATTAATTGTGCACCACCTAAATGCTGTTTAGGGTTTCATATGTGCTAAAATGTGTTGCATAAGTGTTGGAATTGCTGTGAGAACTATAGGAAGGCCGTAGGGTGCTGTTTGGAACTTCGAAATTGCTGTTTGGAGTCGTTGGGGGCTGTATGAGGTCTTAGGATCACCGTGTAGGCTTGCTAGTTGCTATCCAGGGTTGTAGGAAGCCTTAGGATCACTGTTGGGAGTTCCTAATTGCTGCTCGGAGTTGTAGGAAGCCTTAGGATCACTGTGTAGACTTGCTAGTTGCTGCTCGGAGCCGTAGGAGGTCTTAGGATCACCGTGTAGGCTTGCTAGTTGACGTCCAAAGCTGTAGGAGGTTTTAGGATCACCGCGTAAGTTTGCTAGTTGCTGCCCGGAGCCGCAGGAGGTCGTAGGGTCATCTTGTAAGCTTGCTAGTTGCTGTCCGGAGTTATAGGAAGCCTTAGGATCATCGTTGGGAGTTCCTAGTTGCTGTCTGGAGTTGTAGGAAGCCTTAAGATCACCTGTTTGGAGTTCTTTGCTGCTGTCACAACTCGTTTTGTTGTTTTTTACACTAGATTTACTGTTTTATTTGTGGTTATTTTAATCAGTGCAATTTACTCTTGTTTTAATGTATCATGCATACTTGGTTGCGATTTCATTTTAAAAAAAAAATTTTCAAAAGTTCAACAACATTTTCAAAACGAAACAGTTTTTTTCAAGAATTAAACAACATTTTCAAAACAAAAACAACAAAAGAAAACAAAAAACATAACGCATACTTTTAAATTTAAGGGAGTTCTTCGGATGGGATAACCCACGGTTGCTAGCGAAATCTCCCCAATTTAAATGAGTTTAACAACTCGTTTAGCCTAAATAAATTCAAAAGAAAATAGTAGTACCAGAACGAGGGAAATGTGAGATTCTAATCGGTGTCGCTCTAATCAACTTTAACCTCCCTTAATGCTCGAATGACAACAAAATCAAAACCTTGAAACACACCGAATAAACCTTTTGAACTTAAACTTTAGGACTGATACTTCAACATGGAGCTTGGAGCCAGCTTTGTGGGCAGCACGACAAGGACCTTGGATCGAGCAACAAGAGGATCTTCTTCAGCAATCTCTCTCTTTAGTCTAAATAACAACCCATAGGAATTTGAGGTAGCTCGCTGAGCGCGACATAAATACTCACACCCTCTTTAGGCTCTTCTACAACTATGTTGCTCCACGTAAGTCCTAACTCACCTTAGGTTCCGAGGTTGTCGTCCGGTACGACGTAAAACCCTCCTATCTTTGTGGGTTATTTGCATAATCGGGTATTATACAAATGTAAGTCCCAAATAATAAAATTGACAAGATCTAACAATTGAATGACATCGTCTCCAAAACGCAGCCACACAGTAAGATAGTTTGGAAAGTCATTGAGGGTTCTCCTTATGATTTGTGACGTCCCCTACTTTTTTCTGCCTTTGGTCTCTTGAAAGAACTGTTCTCATTTGGCCCTTTCCCACTTGATATTCTGCGTTCTACCGTGAAAACCTTTCTACCGTGAAAACCTAAACCTTACCTAAACCTTGAATTCTTGAAAACTAGTACATTTGATCATTATCGAGAGTTTTCAAGTAACCTCAATCATTTGGGATGTAATTAACTATAGGGGTTTGCCTTTATAGAGAACTTGAAACCCAGATAAAATAAATTCTGTTTAATCTTTGTATTAAATGAGGGAACTTGTCGGCCACATATAAAAGGTTCGCAGATCAAATAAATGTCACAAATCTCTTAGTTTGCAAGATTGAATCCATCGTCGGGATATACACTTATTTTTCGAAAATGTGTAGTATTCACGGTATCATACACAATTATGCAATTCATTAGACGAATGATATCTATTTGGTCTCATTTTTCAAAAATTAAAACGCGCTACTTTCAAAACAAAAAATATATCTCTCATATTAAATTAAATTTAAAAATTATTTTCAAATTTCAAAAAATTGACTGACACACTTGTTTATTAGTTTTATATGAAAAATCTTGTATAAATTAAATTTTAATTTTATATGAATGATTTAGTAGTCATTTCAATTTTTTTGTTTTTTAATTAATATAACAATAACAAATCAAGTATAAACATAAAAAATTTTAAGCAAGTCAAGTATAATCATATATGTAAAAGCTCATCTCAAGCTTGGATTGAACTTGAACAACTTCAATCAAGTCAAGTCCAACCCATAGCATACTCGACTTGATTACATCCCTTAATTCCTTACTTTTTTCCCTTAAATTGAAGTTTATCTATGTATATTTGATCCAAGTTTTTTTATGTTTTTTTCTTGGGGTGCATCCTTGTATCTCCAGTTCCTAAAGAAGATTTAACATCACCCGTACCAAATTGTCATTTAAAAAAAAAAATTCATGCTACTTTGTCACATGTATCTTTCTGGTTCGACTGCCTGACACCTTAAAGCAAGTTGTTAGCAATTGCAACTGTCTTGTAGGTTGCTGAGGCACTATTGCGAAATCTTCTCTTGCTTGGATACCTAGGAGAGCGATGTCACGGCTTTAAAATCATTGGCAATACTTGCATCTGGTGAAATCCAGATAACTGTTCAGGAAATATCTTGCTGACGAAGCTGCATTCTCCATTTTATTCATTTATAGTGATAAATAAACATCATGCATTCTGTTTTATTAATGTTTGAAAGGCAGTTACTTCTGAGTAGTTTTCTGCTTCTCTTTGCTTGAGTTTTGTTTTGCAATGGAGAACAGCAAAAGAATCTTCCATGAGTGCAGTTTTCCTATGTAGATATTCATGATTATATCAAGAAATCACACGTAGGAAAACTTTTATAATGAGCCCTGCAATACTTTTTATGTGATTCATGTGGAGACCGCACAAATCATTAAAAGGAAAAAAAAAAGGAAGACAAAAGGGGTTTTATTTCATTAAGGTTAATGATATTGAGCAATAAAAGGCAGTCTTGGTTTATGAGCATATTTGTGTGCGACTGTTGGCCTGCCATGGATATGTTGGATTGACCATTGAATGCAGGAATTTGGAGATGGTTTGTTTAAATGGAAATTTTAGGCTAATAAAAATTATACGTGGCCACATATTGAGGTTTTTATTCTCAATTGGATGTAAATATCTAAACTATGCATTAGGCTTCCAGCTATATTATAAAGAAATAGTTTTGTTATGCAGTTTATAGTGCTAATCATTTGTGAAATAGTAATTTAACCACTGGTTTTTTTAATTTCTGATTGGTTGGCTTGTCCTGTGTAGAGTGGATTAGTTACAGTGAAATGATAATTTTTTCCATGCATTGTTAGAAAAAAATTATGTTATTGAATTATTAGATGTTAAGATTAGGGAAAAGCACGGAAAAACATTGCCTGGCGTAAGAGTGATTTTTTTAAGTGCAAGTTCTATAAACCCTCCTGTGAGAATTTTTAGTTTCACGACTCTTTTCTTCTCGTTTACTGGAATGCTCTAAAATTCAAGTAAAAATTTTGTTACTTTTAAGTATTGTTTCTAAGTGGATAATATGGGAAAAGTTATATGCCAAACTTATATTGCTTCTCGATTGGTTTTCTGAAATTTTGGTGACTTATTCCTGCCACTGGCAATAGCGTTAATTATTATGCTCGTGATTTTTTATGTGAAGGATAATTTACTGTAGTGTTCTTTGTTTCATGAATTTTGGCAGTGTTTTCACTTTGAAAGCTTTTTTTTTTATGTCCATATGTTACATGTGCAGATGATTTATCTTGATAGTTGCCTTTTGTTCATGATTGTTTTTTCCCTGTATAGCCTACAACTGTTAGCTCTGCAGCTGCTAATCCTTCTATCACAGCACCAGCGCCAGTGCAAACCCTACCTCCGTAAGAATCTTTACATGTTTATACGCCATGCTTTTGAATCTCTGCATTATCTGATTAAAACCTTATTCTCATATATTTTTTTTACCTCTTTCTCTTTCCTTATTCCTATTTGAAACAGGTTGCACGCAGCATCACTTACTTCTGCAGATGCACCAGCTTCTGCAGTTAATGCATCGTAAGTTACCAGAAATTCAAATAATTGATATGAAATTTTAACTTTACGCCCATTTTGCTCGCATAAGCTTCTCCAAATTTCATCTTATCGGGAACAAGAGCTAAATATGCAGAAATAACTGTTCATTAGTTTATGTAATCGAAAATATATAAAAAGAGTTTTAAATACATCAAGATTTGTTTACTGTTGTTGTGATGTAAAAACTGTTTCTCAGCACAATCTTTATTTGTTGCTTCCTTTTTTATGTTTCTTTTTTATTTATATTTTTGCAAACCAAGAAGTTTATCTATTCTAAAATTCTTTAACTTGCAAATCAATGTTTGCGTTTTTTTCTTTTTATTTTCTTACTTTTTTATGTTTTTGGTCTCTGTAATAATTTATATGTACCTTGTGTGTTTTAAATTTTAATAGAAATTCCGTAATTCGGCATTGAAAACTTTTTTAGATAACGAGGACAGATACAATTGTGTTTTTTTCCTCCCTTATTTTCCCTCCTTCCGCTTAGGGCTATAAAAAAAGCTCATCGTTTGTAAACAGCTCGTGTTTGGCTTGTTAAGAAATTCTTGTTCGATTCGTTTGTTAAACAAGTGAGTTGAACACAAACAATTTTTTTTAGCACGATTTATAAACGAGTTGAACACGAACAATAGTTTGTTCATTCATTTTCGGCTTGAAATAATTAAATAATTATATTTATTTATATTTGGCTTTATATTAATTTTTTATATATATTTTTTTAAATGCATATGATAGATTTGGTGGTATAAATGTAAAAAGTGAAGTTTAGGTGTTAACCCCCACAGTCCCATTTTTCTTTTGTTGTTTAGTCCCACATCTATGGGAGAGGTTTCCTTATAGCCTTAGAGGTGCGTGCTTAAAAATAGGAAATCCCTCTTTTGAGCGTTGTAGCCGAGCGGCCCTTGTGGGAGTTGTAGCTATTGAGCTCCAATTTGAGCGAGCACATGTTTAATTCGAACATTTGGCTTGAATCGAGCCAAACACGAACAATTTATTCACGAATCATTTCGAAGATGAGGGGTGTTGACTTCATTTTTGGTGAGGTCTCTTACTCTTCTTAAAAGCCTAGGGTCTAGACTTAGGACTTCTTATTTGACTCTCTTAGAGGACTAGTCTTGGACCTGCACCAACTAGAAATTCGAGCTACTTCTTGACTCCTTGCAGTTTCATATGGTCGGTTCTAAATCCTCGACGTTTGGTTGAGTCGATTAGAACCAGCGTGACAAAACTTAAGTCGAGTATCCAAAGGATCTAAAGTCTTAGGAAACCCTTTGTGTCTGCGCATACTCATGATACACTAATACCACAATTCACGCGTTTGATGCACAATTATCGAAATTCACATCATTTGCATTTGTAGAAGGCTTTGTGATTGATCAAACTCGAATCAACTACTGGAACGATCGATCACGAGCGATAATTTTAAAAAAAATACGAATTTGATGTGTTTTCGACCCAACCGTCGTTGAAGCCGTCGGGGTGAACCCGGATGATGAAACAGATTATACCGGTGCGTCCGAAACGTCGAATTTAGCTAGAGAGGACACCCATTTTGATATGGTTTCGCGCACGAGCGAAAGTGCGCGAATAAAAGAATTTTATATTTTAAATATATATAAGGATTGTTCGCCTAAATTCCTAACCTTCGCTTACTGTACTCCTCCCGCATTTTCACCCTTGTTGACAATTCTATCCTCACCCGACACCCTCTTCCCGAAAAAATTATTCCATACGGACAACGTATGCAAGTTTGCGTGCGGACTCCAATCACCTAATGCCACGTGGAATCTGGCCCCACTATCACAAAACTCTATTATTTTGCGTCTGACCTCGCCTGAGTCTTGCCCAAGCACAAAAAAAAAAGTGTACTTTTGTAATTTTCGCTTCCCACCAATTAGGAAAAGGTGTATTTTGTCTCCTTTAGCTTTAGGGATTTGGGATATTCTCATTTTGTTGCCTTTCTAGGGATCCATTCGTATTCGATGGATAGGGTTTGATGGAAGTATTTCTTGACAGAAAATGTTGTTGTAATCTCAAGATACTTGCGAGAAACATGACAATGAGTTGAAATCTCAAAATATTTTTGAGAATCATAACCTACCTACCGAATACCTTCTATCGCAGCTAAACTCAGCTCTTTCTCATGATTCTCAATAATATTTTGAGATTCTAGCTCATTGTCATGTTTCTCACAAGTATCTTGAGATTCCAACAACATTTTCTCGTCAAGAAATACTTCCATCAAACCCTATTTGCCAAATACGAATAGATCCCTAGAAAGGCAACGAAATGAGAATATCCCCAATCTCTAAACCTAAATGAGACAAAATACTCATTTTCCCAATTGATAGGAAGCGAAAATGACAAAAACACGCTTTTTTGGGTGCTAGGGCAGGACTCGAGCCGGGTCAGATACAAAATAATAGAGTTTTGCGAGAGTTGGGCCAGATTCCACTTGGCATTAGGTGATTGGAGTCCGCACGCAAGCTTCTATTTGTTGTCCGTATGGAATAATTTTTCCTTCACTAGACTCTCAACTGCTCTGCTCTTCTGGACCCGAAGCTTTTGCTGGGATAAAAAATCCCTCTTGCCCTCTTCTAAAGCACCGAGTGGAACGCCACTCACAAAAAAAGCCCCAGCCAACTTTATGCAGAAGCCAGTCCCTCCTCTCGCAGACGAAGCCCTTGCTCCCCTTCCCCTCTCGAGAGCTCTCAAGTTCGACCACCTCTTTCTCTCCTGAATCTTCTCCTTCGCCTCTCGAAACCACGAAAGGTTTTCTTAGGGTTTGTCGTTTGTGTTTGTTTTCTAATCTCTACTTTGATTTGCCCTCAACGAGTCAGCATTGGCTTGTTTTCTCGGTATTTTGGCTGGATCATCAGTTTTCTGTTTGATTCCTCGATATTTTGCTTCATTGCTTGGTTTGCTGCTTCTCTCTGGTGGCTGCTGAATTTTTTTTGGTCTACATAGCAGCTTGGCTGACCACTACATTCCGTGGTTTAGTAAAAATCAAAAGGGGTTTTTTGGGTTATTTTGTAGTAGGATTCTAGTAGCATTTGAACAAGCTTCTCTTTTTTTTTTTTATTTCTTTACATCAAATTCATTTTGATTTCTGCAAGAAAGATGCATTTGTGTCGTGCTAGCAAGCAGAATGTCGGCTATTGGGTGTGTTATATCACCCTACCCTATGCACGAGGTGGTGTTATACTTAGGCGTATAAAAAGAAAAAGAGAAACAAATATGAGATGTTAGCACCATTGAAACTTTTTTTTTATCGCTACAAAACAAGTTTTATGAAGTTTTTTTTGGTGTGTTCCAATCAGGCCTTTGGTTTTAAAATTCTTTTGTCGTGCTTCTTATGTGTTTTGGAAATGTCACTATTTAGGAACTTTGAGTTGATTTATGACTTGCTTCGTATTTTGGACTTCCAAGTTTTGGATTGATTTCAGTATATCATGCATTCATGGATCAGTTTTTGAATCATATTTCTTATTTGAATCCTGTATAATGGTGGCAGTTCCTTCATCTTGTAATACATTGGCATGTTTAATGTGAGGTTTGTTGCATGAGGCTGGGTGTTTCTCTTGACCGAGATACCCTTGCTGGCTTCACTTCCGGAGATAGATTTGGAGAGTATAGGATTACCTCCAGGGAGAGAGGAGCACAAAGATGCCGTAACACACAAAGATGCCGTAACCTTTCTATATTGATCATAACACAAATTTCCATTTGTTTACATATATACCACCAAAATTTTAAATGGTTGTTTTATGCTCTATGTTTGTGTCAATTTGAGAAGATTTAGAGGGAGCTAGCATTGATAGGTGTGCCACATTTTGTTGGTTATTCGAGAAGTCCCATTGGGTGAATATTTGAGGCTAGCCCTCTTACCGTTTTGACTTCCTTTTTAAACTCGTTTTGGAGGCGGGTTAGTCTTCCTTTTTCTCATTTGTTTCTTTTTGATTCACTTTCTTTGCTTCTTGGTTTGGTTTTAGGTGCTTATGTTCGAAATATAAGCGTGCACATATAGTTGCGGCTATATATGAACTATCAAGCAATGTCGTAACTTGCACGGTCTTTTTTGGGGTTTCAGACCTTGATGATAAAGACATTCGGTGGTATAACAAAATAATTTTCCATCCTACGACATTGGGACTCAATCCCGGGACTCGGTGAAACGTAAGATGACAATATTATTCATCGACACCAGATTAGCAGGACACTCTTGCCTTTTTAGGTTGTTGGTGGTTCTAGCCCAATGGTGCGATTGACTTGTAGACAATCATATTTTATAAAAAATAAGAACATATACGATAAGAACATATACGTTATTTACAAAAATATTTTGACTACAAAAATTGATACTACTTTTCTTATATGCATGTCAAAATATAAATTTTAAATAATATAATTCGATTGTCCACTTGTCAATTACCGGTACTGGGCTAAGGAGAACCCTCCTAAGTTGGTATTGTGGGAAACCCTTCTAGATGAATGTCGGGTTCTATACATACTAGTGACCGATATTTTCCTTTAGAGTCCCTCAAGAATACCTAAATCTGAGCCTAGCCCAACCCCAATGCTTATGATTTTCTTTCTCTCTTCGGATTTTTGGTCTATTTCATACGATTTTATCGGGATCTTTGTAGATCATTTGTGATTTCCTCCGAATTTTTCTCGTGTTTTCGAAGGTTTTCTTCGAGTTACCATGGGTCATTTGTCGCTCTTCTCGAGTTTTTCAAGTGATGTTCGATATTCATTTTTATTTATATATATTCATGCATACACATTTCTTAATTTTTTTCATTATGCTCGTTTACTTTTTACCTCTGACACAACCCTTGTTTGCGGGAGCGGTCGACCCGTGAGGTATACAAGTTTGTTTTATGTTTACAGTGTCTCACTTTCTTTACTGCACATTTTACTACATATATATACAGTTCATGCTTGCGCTACTATTGTTTTTTGTTTACTGCGTTTTGTAGCATATTTTCCTTTTATTAATCATGTTGCTTCTAGAGACTTGCAGGGGCTTTTTTAGGATAGAGGACAGTAGGACACCGGGTTTAGGAGATACCCTATAGCGAAGCACTGACCCAATAACCACATATTTATACACACCACAACCCCGAACCTATAATTGATATGTTAAGGAGCTTAGAGTAGTTTTTTTTCCAAAAAACGGAGCGTGGAAGCAAGCGGACAGAGAGCGGCGATCAAGACCACGACAACGAGGTGTAGGACGTCTCTTAAGAGTTAAGGTCCAATCCTAGGATAGTTGGGAAATCATCGGGGTTCCCCCCAGATTTGTGATATCTCCTACCTTTCACTCCATTGATTCCTAAAAATAACTGTTTCTATTTTGAACATTTCCCATTTGATTTCCTCACATTTAACCTTGGAAACTTAAACTTTAAAATCTTGAAGGCAAAACCACTAGTTTTAGTCAAGTCTTTTTAGGTGATTTCGATTGCTTAAGATATAATTAATTATATGGGTTTGCCCTTATAGGAAAATTAAGAACTCAGCTTAATATAAACTCTATTTAATCTCTCGTATTAAATAGGGAAACTTATCGACTTATGAAAAAATATTTCGCAGACCAAACGGGTGTTACAATTTTTTTAGTTTTGGTGGTTGAGTCTACCAAGTTATATGCATATCCTTCGGGATAGTGTACGGTCTCACTTTTTTAAACTAAAAGATAAAATTATAATCATTATATATATATATATATATAATTAAATTTAAATGATTTTCAAAATAAAACGGCTGACAAGGGGAACACGAACATTATTTTTTTTTTGAATGAGCCAAACACGGGTAAGTCATTGGCTCCGCTCAGTCTCTGCCCTTTTACACCCCCTACTTCCACCGGTCCTTTTTCAGACAGATTTGATTTATCTATTGAGAGCATGTGGAAACATGTGTATTGATGTGAGTGATTGCTATACATTTAGTTTTATTTATTGGGGAATTCTCATACATAGCACCCAATTCTTATGCATTTACCTATTTCACACCCAAACTTTCATTTTACAAGCCAGTCACCTAACTTATCTTTTTCACCACTCTCCAACAGTGAAATCCACATTTTAATATGTAGGTAGGGTGCTGATTTTGTAAAAGTGAGAGTTTGGGTGTGAGCTAGGTAAATGCATAAGAATCTGATATTTTTTATATTTCTTTTTTTCTTTTGTTTTTTTGTTTTTTTTTTGTTTTTTGCATTTTTTACTTTTACTAGCCTGTTTGTTTATGATAATTTGTTTTTGTTTGTTTATGATAATTTGTTTTTCATCAACGTTTTATTCCTACTATTTTTTTTTTCTTTTTGATTTGACACTATTGTGAGTAATCCTATTTCTAGCAGATTGCAAAATTCTTATTTTGCTGATGGCATGAATGATTCACCTCTATCAATATTTAGTACATTTTGCCTATTTATTTGAATTCTTTATAGTTTTTTTTTTCCCCTTTTTTTTTTTTTTTTTTTTTTTTTTTTTTTTTTTTTTGCGCAGCATCGCTGTGAGTGATTATTGCCAGTCAACGTTTTCAAGTCATTTCATTATTAATTCTATTATGTTTTTTTATCTGTATTTTTAATTTTGTTGACGTAGGACTGTTGTCAATGCATATGATCAAGCAGCATCAAACCTTGTAGCTGGCGATAGCCTCGAACAAACTATCCAACATATTCTAGATATTGGTGGAGGGACTTGGGACAGGAACACTGTTGTTAGGGCATTGCGAGCTGCATTTAATAATCCCGAGAGAGCTGTTGAATATTTATATTCTGTAAGATTTTCTCCTTAATTAGTATTTTTGTGTATTATAATTTAAAAAGGTTGATTTTTGTTAATTCTATAATATGATAAAGTAATCTATCAGGATGAAGATCGAATTTGTGATGCTTAAATTGGTGGGTGCTTGTGCTACAAATAATTTAACTCTATCATTTGTAGTTGTAAGTTTTTGGATATGCTAATGGGTCGGATTGCTCGGGATTTGTGTTAATTAGGGTGGATTTTGAGTTGTGTTTGAGAGAGATTAGCTTACAATAAAATTGAATATTTTTTATTGGCTTGAAGTGAAATTGATTTGATTTAAGCAGATCCAACTTGAAAAATTCAACTCCAAGCGGACAAGAAATCAATTTGGAGTAAACCAGACTATTTTTTATTCCTCTAGGTATTGGAATTTACATAATTTTATGTATAATATTGAATATACGTCACATATTATTTGTAAATTGTATATTAATTCCTACATTGAAATAAATAGGAATTATCTTATATTGTGCTATGTTATAACGCTATTCGCGCCTTTCTCCTCCTTCCGCTCCGTCCTTGAGATCTAGCTATAGTTGTTGCTCCGTCTTTGCAACACAACCGTAATCACTGCATGTTGGAAAGAAAACGATGGGCTTGCGACTAGGCATCGACGTGCTCGTGACTTACAGAAGAAGGCAACGACAGGTTTGGAGCCTTCATTGGCCCGCATTGTCGTGACCAAAACCTGCGATACAATCGCATTCAAAACTTACGGAGAAGGCCACAACGAGATCTTATTGGGGCGGGACATAAGGCTTACGATTCGACAATGATTCGGGTTACTTGAGAAATTGAAGGGATTCTTGCTTACTTTCTTCTCCGTCTCACTGAACTGCATAAAATAGACTTGATCAGATCAGAACAAGCGGGGAAGGCTGCGATGAAATCTGGCGTGCTTTAATTGTGATACTAGAAATCAGCGACTAGACTCGGAATCATGCAGGCCTAGTGACAGGAGATAATGACAATAAAGAAAATAGATGATTTGGATAAGAAATTATAGGAAGAGATGAACAAATCAGACCAGGGATGGAAGAAAGGTTCTCCGCCATAGATGATAGATTTCCTCTATGGAAAATCGAATGGAGGAACGATTCGAGAGCACAAGAGAAATTCGAGAGATGATAAAGAAGCTTATTAAAATGCAATCCAAAGACCCCGCTAGCAGTTTAATTTGCATAACCAAAGATTGACTGAAGAATCCGTGGCAAGATCGAAGGGAAAAGAGATCGAACATGAGGAACATGAGGAGGAAAACATCCATCATCACAAACCCCTTTCAGGGCTTCAATTAGAGGTGGATTAGAGATTTCTAATTGAGGCGGTTGGAACGAAAAATGGGGTATGGAGGAACACGAAGAAGGGAGAGAAGTAGGGAGGGGATATGACTACGATCAAATAAAGGACTTTTACCCTCGATGCATTGGGGGAAACAACGGAGGAAGAGGAAGTTGGGGTGGAGATGTTAGAGTTAAATAGTTGAAGATGTCAATCTTCGAGGAGGAAGACGCACATGAATATGTGTATCGGGCGGAGCAATACCTCACTGTGAATGGGTTAGATGGGGAGGAGAAACTCATGGTAACAAAATTGTGTTTGGAGGGGAAAGTCTTAGCCTAGTTTTTGTGGTGGAAGGCTAGATACCCAATTTATTCGTGGGATGCATTTAAGGATTGTTTGTTGGAACATTTCCGAGCTATTCGGGAATGAGATCTACACAAGCAATTTTATGCTTTGATTCAAGAGGGGACGGTCTCTATGGAGAGATATGAACTATTGTCGGGACGACTATGGGGGATTTCTAAAGCAGGATTGAAAGGGAATTTCATGAAGAGTTTAAAGCCCGACATACGGGTAGAACTTCAACTACTTAGACCGTGGGGTTTGAGGGAGATGATGGAGCTACCCAGATGGTGGAAGACAAGAAGCAGATGAAGAAAGCCAACAGGAGCAACACAGACTAAGCATCGTACTGAACTAATACAACCACGACGATGCCAAAAGTTTAGACAGTGATAATCCAAAGGGAAGTTGCACAGGATACGAATAATGAACCACAACTTGGAGCAACACTCAAACGTCTTACAGAGAGAGATTCAGGACAAGCGAGCCAAAGGGTTATGTTTTCAATATGATGAGAAGTTTATCCAAGTACACCGTTTCAAGGATCAAATATTACAAGTTCTCGTAGTGTGGGATCAGGAAGCAGAGAACGACGAAATAAAGACAGTTGTGGGGGAGGAGGAACACACTTATTTTTTCCCACCTTGAGGACAAGGTAGTTTTTGTTTGGGGGGGCGTATTGTTATGAGGGCGTCTAGCCTAAGGGCAAATTTGTTTTTGTACGTCTAAGTGCAAGTCTTTAATTGTTTTTATTGTTGGGTATAAATAGTCTTGTTATGTCTCGGGTGAGGTTTATGCATCAAATTGAGTTGCGAGCCTTATGTTTAGGTTTTGAGAGAGATTTTCTACCTCACAAATTATAGGAATCGGGAGAGATCACCTACCTCTCGAATCATAGGTGCATATCTTTATATTCTCATTGAGTTGTTTGAATTATTGAAATAAGTAATTTGTTTTGTCCTAATTTTTATAAAGATTCGTGTCAATTTTTGCCCTTTATCATGTTTTTGTATGAACTCTGAATTTCATACTTTCCCTTCTTCATCCAATCCTAATTAGTGAACAAAAACTATAGCAGAATTTTATTCTACTTTTTGTGCAATCTTCTACAACTGGTTTAAATTAAAGCTTTTGTATGATTAGTTAATTCACTCACATAAAGTTTGGTAAATTATTTCTGACAATTGTTGTCTCCTCCTACTTAAACATCAAATTTTTGTAATATTTGTAACTAAAATATTAGAATATTATGCAGATTTATGTATTAATTGCTTTGATTTACTTTCCCTTTCCCTTTATTTTTTTTATTATTTGTTTCCTTAATAGTAGATTCTTTAAAGGGTATTTATGCCCCTCCTTGCATCAATGATAATTACAAGAAGGGTTCTATTCTAGAGCCATGGCCCTACTTGCAGCCAGCTAGGTCTGATTCAAGACAACAGAACTTATGATTTGTCACAGTGCTTCAAATTTGTTGTAGGTTTTGATTTGGCAGAACTTCTGCTCCCTATCCAGGCTTCAGATTTGTCATTGTTTTTCACACTGCTACGGTAGGATGCCGCACTGATTCCTGCATGGCTTCAGGTTTCCACATTGTTTCAGGATCCCACATTGCTTCTAATTTTGTCGCTGATTCCCAGCACTGAGGATCTATTGAACCCATCTGGTTTAGAACCTTTGTTCCTGAACCTCTGTTTTAGGATCTACCATTTAGAACCTCTGTTCTGGTCAATTGAGGCACCCTTCAATCGACCAAATCCAACGGAAACCCTTATAGAGGCAATTTTTCTCCAAGCAGTCGAGCCTTTACGATGTCTTGACGACCTAACATCTCATTTGGCTCAATTGGAGTCACAACGAACTCCAACACTAAGCCGTCATGAAAAGATGTTCTTGATTCAACCGGAGGATTATTTCAAACATCTATTCCTCTGCAGATCGGAGGACGGCAAAACAACATGAACTTCTTGATTACAACCCATAAATTAATCTCCAGTAACTTTCTCCAATAGTCCCAATTTGTCATTGTTCATCAATGGACATGAAAAATTCGGTCATCTCACTAGTGTGATTTGTGAACCTCTAAGGACTGACCCAACATATGGAGCTTGGGAAGTAGAGAATTTCATGGTCATGTACAACCCATAAATTAATCTCCAGTAACTTTCTCCAATGGTCTCAATCTGTCATTGTTCATCAAAGGAAGTGAAAAATTCAGTCATCTCACTAGTGTGATTTGTGAAACTCTAAAGACTAGCCCAACATATGGAGCTTGGGAAGTAGAGAATTTCATGGTCATGTACAACCCATAAATTAATCTCCAGTAACTTTCTCCCTGGGAAGTAGAGAATTTTATGATCATGTACAACCCATAAATTAAATGGCAGTAACTTTCTCCAATGATCTTAAACTGTCATTATTCATCAAAGGGCGTGAAAAAATCGGTCAACTCACTAGTGTGATTCGTGAACCTCCAAAGACTGGCCCAACATATGGAACTTGGGAAGTAGAAAATTCCATGGTCATGTCGTGGCTGATCAAATCTATGGAGACTTACATTGGTCGATCATATATGTTCCTTCCGCTAGTGTCATCTAAACGACAGTCTGTGATACCTACTAAGATATAAGAAATTTCAGTCAATTCTATGAGGTATTTAAGATAATTCGTGAGGCAAAACAAGGATCGAGGACCACGATCTAGTACTACAATGATCTAGTTGCATTATGGGTAGAATGCGATCTGTATTATGACTACACTTGGGAATCTTTGACCGACGTATCTCCCTTCCAGAAAATTTTGAAAAGACTGCATGTTCTAATTTTTGGTAGGCATGAATAAAGATCTTGATGAAGTCCAAGGTTGTATCTTTGGTCGAGATGCACTTCTACTCACGTTGCTTTCATTGATATTCGTCGCGAAGAGAGCAGGAAAATTGTCATGCTTGGTGCGTCCACTTCTTCTGTCGAAGTATTCGCCTTGGTCTCTAATAGTGCTTAACCCCGAGTTGTTCACCCCACTTGTGATTACTGTCACAAGCCAAACGCACGTGATAAATGCCGCAAGCTCCACAGGAAAGCTGCATCCAAACCTTCAGCCAAATCTTCCGCTACCAAGGGGTCTCGCTACAACTTCTGAGTCTAATACAGTACAACCGTCCTCTAGCCAAAACAATTCAGAATCATCCAATTCTATTAAAAGCTAATTAGATCTCTTAACCAAGCAGTTTGGATCCAATCCGTTCTATTTTGGCCCATCAACCTCCCACGTTCATCAAGGTACCAATCCTATGAAAGTCACATCTTTTGCCCCTTCTACTCCATGGATCATTGATTCTTGTGTCATGGACCACATGACCGGAAGCTCAAGCCTTCTCGACATACTATCCTTGCTCAGGAAAAGATACTGTTAAAATTGCTGACGGGTCCTAAAGTTCCATTACTTGTAAAAGGTCTGTTGTATTAACAACAGATCTAACTCTGAAATCTTTGTTACATGTACCTCTGCTGAAGTTTAACATTTTATCTGTCAGTAAGTTGACAGATGACATTGTTTGTGTTGCTCTTTTTTTCTCTAATGTATATGTCTTTCAGGATCTCCATTCGGGGAGGATGATTGGAAATGCTAAGCGGGTACGCGGACTCTACTTCTTCCAAGAGAAAACCAAAGAGAATGAGGACACTCCATCCAGTAGTTACTGTTTATCTCAATTTAATGAATGTCTTATTATGTTGTTATACTGTCATTTGGGGCAACCTAGTTTTCAGTATCTAAAACAATTGTTTTCATTGATGTTTACTAATTCTAGTTTCAAATGTGAATCTTGTTAGTTAGCTAAATATTGTCTTGTTTCTTATCCCTCCACAATTATACACCATTCACTCCTTTCTTTTTTATTAACAGTAATTTATGGGCCCCTCTCACATTCATTGTTACAGCAGTAAATGGTGCTTTCTTACTTTGATTAATGACCACACTCGGATGACGTGAGTCTATATTTTAAAAGATAAATATGAAGCTGCTGTCACTTTAAAAAATTTGCACTCCATTTTGACACAATTCAAAACCACTTTTTATAGTATCGTGAATTTTTAACTCTATATTAGGAGAATTCTTGGTAAGTTAGGCATTCTTTTTTATAGTTAGAGTATCGACACTCTTCAGCAAAAATGAGATCGCAGAGGAAAAACCGACATCTCGACGTTACTCGCTCCATTATGTTTCACTCTAATATCCCAAATTTTTTTTGAAATGATGTCATTCTTACCGTCACTTATCTCATCAATAGAGTTTCCTAAAAAATTTGTCAACTTTCGTACCTCTTTAACCATCTTGAGATCGTGCTTCCTAGCAATTTGGTCTCTCCACTTTAGATTTCAATTTTTTTGGATGCACAATCTTTGTTCGGAACACAACCCCAGATCGGAGTGAACTTGATCCTAGGTCCATAAAATGTGCTTTCCTCAGATACTCTGCCACTCAAAAGAGGTATTAGTGTCTTGACTCTATCACAAATAAAGTCTATGTGAGTATTGATGTCTTCTTTTTTTAAAGTGTTTAATAATTTCTTAACTCGATCTCCAGTGAGGGAGAGTTAGAGTTCTTGGACACTATTCCTTACCCTACCTCTGTGAATGTTCCCCCCACGTCACGTCACCAACCATTGAGGAACCCTCTGTTCCTTTGGTTCCACCCACTTCTTCTACCATCAAAGAGTCCTCTATCCCTTTGGCCCCACCAGCACATCCTCCCACTCTTCGTGTCTACACTCGGCGCACTCGTTTTGATGCACCTACTCTGGAGCTCGCTAACCCCTTATTGGACACTAAATCTGCTCCGGACGACATCCTCAGCACTTCTACTCCAAATGAGAAAGTCAGTCCCTCCTTTAATAAAGTATGCAATCAGACATGCTCTCTCTATTCCTTGGCAAACTATCTCTCTCTTCGCAGATTATCGCCAACCTACAAAGCATTTGATACCGCCCGAACCAATCATCAGCTTTCATCTACTATTGAGGTTGCCTCAGCAAACCCAACATGGAAAGTTGTCGTCATGGAGGATATGAATACCGTTCAGCAAAGCCATACTTGGGACATTCTTAATCTTCCTCGGGGCAAGAAAGTAGTGGGATGCCGATGGATTTTTAGCATCAACTTTAAATTTGATGGATCCTTTGAACGTAACAAGGCACAGTTGGTCGTCAAAGGGCACTCACAGATCTACGAAGTTGACTATGAGGAGATATTTGCTCCAGTTGCTAAATTAACTTCATTCAGGTCCTCTTATCCCTTGTTGTAAATCTAGATTGATCTTTATTTCAGCTTGATGTGAAGAATGCATTCTTGAATGACGATCTTACAGGGAAGTATACATGTCTCTTCCTCCGGGCTTTGACTCTATTGCCTCTTAGGGGCAAATATTTAGATTGTGTAAATCTCTTTATGGATTGAAGCAATCACTACGGGCATGGTTCGTGAAATTCACAAAGGTGGTCATGGATTCTCTCAGGCTCAATTAGCCCACTCTCTTTTTTCTGCATTTTTCCAGCAGCTAGGTAGTCATCCTTATTGTCTATGTTGATGATATCATTCTCACAAGTAACGATCTACCAACATTGGAGTCTCTGAAAGACATTATTGTTGCTTCCTTTGAAATAAAGGACTTGGGATCTCTCTGATATTTCTCGTGCATGAAAGTTACTCGGTCATCTTATGGCATTTGACTGTCTCAGCGGGAATATTTGATTAACCATTTGATAGAGAATAATCATCTCCTGTGCAAACCAGTGTTTGTCCAAATGGATCTCAATGAAAAACATCTTGATGTTCCCAATGCAGCTCCTCTAAACAAGACTAACTACCAGTGCATGGTGGGGAAGTTCATTTATCTTTTGCCCATACATGCCCCGATACATGTCACGCAGTTGAGATAGTCTCTCAATTCATGCATGATTTTTATGAGCACCTTTTCCTAGTTGTTCACCGGATTCTCGGCTATTAAAAGACACTTCGGGCTCAAGTTTGTTTTTTTTCTCGTCACACTACGCGTTCTATTGCAGTTTACATAGGCGCAGATTGGGTCGGGTCTGTCCATGATTGGCGATCTACTTCACGGTATTGCTCATTTGTGGGGAAACTTTGTCACGTGGAAAAGCAAGAAGCAATCTGTTGTTGCTCAGAGCAGTGCGGAAGCCGAATTTCGGTTTTTGTCCCTAGGAATTTATGAAGCTCATTGATTACACATCATGCTCCGCGAACCATGTATGATAGTTTCCGCTTCTCTACAATTGTTCTATGATAACTAGGTTGCTATTAGCATTGCTCACAGGCTGGTCCAGCATTATTGCACCAAACATGTTGAGATTGAACATCTCTTCATTAAGGAAAAGCTCAAGCCTAGGGAAATTTGTGTTTCGTTTGTTCCATCTAATGGCTAGCTAACATATATTCTCACAAAGAACCTTTCTCGAGTATTATTCGATGATTTCAAATTCAAGTTGAACATAACCGACATCCATGCATCAATTTGAGGAAAAATATTAGAATGTTAGAATATTAATATGCAGATTTATGTATTAATTGTTTTGATTTACTTTTCTTTTTCCTTTTATTATGTTTATTATTCGTTTCCTTACTAGTAATCCTGGTATGGGTATTTATACCCCTCCTTGCATAGGAATTACAAAACGGTTCTATTATAACATTTGCATCCAAAATTTTATCATGTATTCAAGTCTTTTGTATCAGGTTCCTGAGCGAGCGGAGGCTCCACCTGTTGCACGGTCTCCCACTGGGGAGCAGGAAGCAGCCAACCGTCGTGTTCAGGCACCGCAGCCAGTACAGCCTTCGGTTCCATCAGCCGGTCCTAATTCAAATCCTTTGAACCTCTTTCCTCAGGTTTCTACTGATTTTTATTAGTCATTTTTGTATATGCTACTAGAAATTTTTTAAGCTCTGGTTTCATGAGTTTTAATGGTTCAGGGTCTGCCCAGCGTGGGATCAAATGTTGGTAGAAGTGGCCTTGATTTTATTCGAAATAGTCCTCAGGTACACTGAATATTATAGCAACAATAACTCTGAAAAAACTGTCAAATTTATATAACTTTTGGCTTTTCTTCGTAGTTTCGAGCGCTGCAGACAATGGTGCAAGCAAATCCTCAGATTCTCCAGGTCATATTTTTCAGTGGCACGCAAACTTTATGTTTCTGAGTGGTTTCTCAATTTTGGTATTAAATATTTTTTTCTTGCTGCTCACAGCCAATGCTTCAGGAACTTGGCAGGCAAAATCCACAGGTTATGAGGCTCATTCAGGATCATCAATCTGAATTTATAAACTTACTTAGTGGATCATCTGAGGGAGGAGAGAACAATCTATCAGGCCAGTCAGCTGAAGCAGAGCCTCAAACAGTAACTGTTACTCCGTCGGAGCGTGAAGCAATTCTTCGGGTATGTTTTTCTTGAATTTAGTTTTTTTATGGGCGGCTGTTACTGAATTATATTTCTAGAAGTATTTTAGAACTATCTCAATGAAGAATTTAGTTTATGCAATGTTTGATCATTTTGGCATATCAGTAAACTGCTTCATAAATGATCTTTATCCATCCTTTTTCATTAATTGAATACACAGTAAATATCACGAGCAATCCATACGTTTAAATTCCTGGACATTCAAAAGTCTACAAATTGAAATCATAAGTTTATCATGCAATCACATCCATCCATCTAAAACAATTTAAATGAGGCAAATTGAAATTGCATTTAACTGATGACCAAACAATATTAAAAGTTCTTAAAATCATGTAAGCCATTTGTTTTAGGTATGGATGATGGTTAAGAGAGAGTTAACCAACTACATTAAACCCCGGCTAAGATGAGGGCAACGGAGGGGATTGATGTATATAGCCTTACTATTGCACTGACATTTTTTTTTTTCCATGATTCAAGTTTGTGATCTTTGGGACAGGCGCATGCAACACACACACACACTCTCTCTCTCCGCTGACTTGGTTGACCTTTTCTCCACGCAGATTTATTTTTTGTTTTCCAATTTTTAAGCATCCAAGTATCAAATCAAACCTATTAATGTTAGTAAACACCCATGAATCATAACAGTTTATCACAAATTCTTCATTTCTAGCAATCATTCAGCTGTGTATCAATAGAATAGATATATGCTTTCAATACATCAATAGTCATTTCAAAAAATGAAAAAATAAAAAAATAAGGCAAAGTGTATTTTATCGCGAGGGTATTATAAATCTATCATTATTTGACCGTGCTCCACCTTTATTTTTACATTTAGTAAAAAAAAAATGATAAAACTAGATCTCCGCATTAGTTGTCTTATCATAACGTGCAATTTTGTTGAGAAAAGTACTATTTTGGTGTATATAAGAATTAAGGCTAATCTAAACAACACATACATACGATACACTGATATTACAAAATTTAATTGAATTCCTTCTAATGTTTGCGATATTCTGTAAGCATTAAATTTTGTGTGGCAGCTGGAAGCGCTGGGCTTTGACAGGAACCTCGTCCTAGAAGTTTACTTGGCCTGCGATAAGAACGAGGAGCAGGCCGCAAATTACCTTCTGGACCACATGAATGATGATGATGACCTCGATCACTGATTAAAATTAGTCCCCCGTCCTCCGTTGTTTGCCTTCTGTTGTTTCCCTCTTTTTGAGTATTGTGTGCAAATAAGTCCATCTCTTTTTCTGCAATTCAAGGAAGTGGTAGTGTTTTTTAGACCTTTATACATTATGCAAGTAGCTTATAGCACAACTGTGTATACATTTTTTTGGGGAAAAAAATTAGATCAGAATATCTGATTAAAATTTAGTTAAAAATTAGTCTGAAAGGTGTTTGTTTTGCATTGAAATGAATTTATCGTGGATGGACTATTATTATTTTTTTTTAGTATTCATCTCAATATAAATCAAAGCTTTTGACTTGTTTTTTAAACTAATTTTGTTCAGATGTGCTGGCTAATTTTTTCCCCCCCCCCAATTATTCACTTTTTTACATTTCTTTACTATATCAAGCCAGTCTTTCTTCCGTAAAATTTACTTTGCTTAACTTTTTTATATTTGGGCGCTGATGCTTCTACAAAAATATGCGTAATGCAAGGCAAATCTTACTTCGATGCTGTTAGGTGGGAAGGTGTTTTTTGTTGTACTTTGTGAAGTAATTCTCACTATGTAAACACGTAAAAGTTTGTAGATACCAAAAAACTTTTTAAGGAGAGCATTTCTAATGTTTTTGATAAATGTGAAATTTAAATTTATGTAGCTTTTTTTTTATTATTATTTTTGAAGAATGGATGAATTTATATAGTTGGAACGAGGTTCTTGTTGATGAAGCCTTTTGTTGGTAAAGTTTTTTTTTTTTTTTTAGTTTAAATGCAGTTTAGTATGTGTTATCTTTTGATTAGGTGTAATTTAAAATTAATATTAATTTAATTTTTTTTTAAAAAAAAATCTCAAATATAGTAATTTCTTAAAATGTTTTTTTGGCAGTGTCCGGTTGAGTTTTATGCACGTTAAGAAAATCAATCATTTTATATGCACAAAAGAAAGCGAGCAAATTGAATATGAGATTGTCGAAGCTTTGTATGTTTATTTTTTTATGCACGTTTTTAGATGCACAAATGAAAGCAGGTAAATTGAATAATTGAGATTGTCGAGGTTGTGCGCGCGCTTTATGCACGTTAAGAAAATCAATCATTTTAGATGCATAAATGAAAGAAGAGATTGAATATTTGTGATTGTCATAGCTTTGTACATAAATTTTTGCATTGTTTAGCACAAGAATAAAATATTATATTGATATTAATCTTGAAATGAATTTTTTGTATCGTATTGTATTGTATGGACATTGTTCGAGTGCTTTGATTTTGACTGTTTTATTAATCATATGACACCAGTACGGATCTATTCAAGTACATAACTTATTTTAGTTATAGCTTTCTTGCAGTTTCTCTAAAAATTATTATGAAAAAGAATCTTTTTATTATAAAAAATGCTTTTCTACACAAACTTATTTTTTTTTTCCAAAATTTAATTTATTAATATTTTATAATAAATATAATGATAAGTGTATCATATATTATAAATTATTCAAATAAAATATGATTAAATTATATATTTAATAATAATATATCATAATTTTATATTAATATGATTGTAAATTTTGTATAATTCGCTTATATTTATGTATTTCAATGAAATGGCATTTTAACATTTATTTATACTACTTGATAGCAATAAAATTTATTATTAACTTATATATAGTAAAAAAAATTAGTTGCATGCTATAAATTTATTAAAAAATTTAAATACTCATTCTAATTCTCAACTTATTTATTGAATAATCGAATTAACTGTTCAATTAATATAAACTAGAAGTTGATTCAAGTATGATTATAACAAAAAAAGAGCAAGTCTTATTTGAAGATATATGTGAAAGGTCCAACTAAACTCAAGCTGAACAAGAGCATCATATAATATGTATGACCGAGCAAAGTTCAATCCACCACATAACCAGCTTAACTCAACTAGATTACAACCCTAGCTTCATACGCTAGAAAGAAAACTGTTAAAAGAAAATCAAAACCTCCCAATAATAATAAAAAAAAAAATAGAAAATTGAAGCCAAAACATATTGAAATAATATAACAATTATCAAAGATGTCTAATCCTGAGTTGCTCTTGAGTCACACCTCAAGGATTAGAGCGTAATCACCTCGCTTAAGAGGGGAGAGAAAGAAAAATAGAAATAAGTGCACAATAATGAACATTAATAAGCCTTATCGATTAGCATTTTCTTATAAAATAATTCTCTTATTTATATAAAAAGATAAACTAATACATTAAATTAAAAAAAATTAAAAAGAAAGGCCAACCTGCAAAATTTCAAGCAGCTTTTGCTTCTTTTTCCTTTTTCACATCTTTAATAAACTTCTGCCAGTTCTCCGGACTGTCAACTATTTCTCCAGTCTTGATGAGGTACCGCACTTTGCTTCCATCCTCTAAAACCTTGTGCCCCACTCTGCTCGCCACTTTTTCCTCTTTTGAATACAACATAACATTCGAGCTATGAATGGGAGCCTCAATCTACAAAACATAAATCAATTAAATCAATCTGTCATATTCATTAGAAACATATGCAAAAAATACACTTCATATTTAAACATATTTCTTTGCAAAAAGCACCCACACGCACCTTCACAATACTCCCAGGCTCACCCTGCTCTTTGCTCTTCATGTGCTTTGTCTGAATGTTGATGTCTTTTACGACAATCTTGCTGTTATGGCGAAATATTCGAGTAATTTCTCCTATTTTACCTTTGTCATCTCCTGCAATGATTTTTACAGTGTCCCCCACTTTAACGTGCATTTTATGCAGTACTGGAAGACTGTTGGGTTTGCACTCCTTTCTCTCCCATCTCTTAAGCTGCATTACGGGAAGAAAAAATATAGATAGATGAGATAGCTAAAGAATATGGGATTAGGTTGAGATGATTAAAATGGAGAGACTTTGTTGTTTTAATCCCTACTCAATGATAGCACACCATAATTATGTGGTCTTAAATGTAAAAGAGAAATTTAAATAGATTTTAGGGATAATTCCATACATAACACTTGAAATATTGTTATTTATAAAAGTAGAACCTAGGTGCTTTTTGAACTACTAAATTGATGCATTTTCAAACTATTTGAAATATGATAAAAATGAAAAATATGGGTTAGGTTTTTGTCATGAATTTTGATATTTGGGTGAGAATTTGAATAATGGATGAAAGATGGTGGTGGTATTGTAAATAGCAATGTTTGGAGTGCTATTTATGCAATTGCTCAATGGCTTAGGCATGCAAAAAAGTGGAAGAAGAAATAGAAAATTATAGGGGATTTACACACATAATACTTAAAACTTGTATATTTACAAAATCAACACACATGCTAACTATCCAATCTGAGTTTTTGAGTGTTCTACAATCTAACCCTTGCAAATTTGAAAAAAGAATGAAAATAAGAATGTGTAATCATAATTGGGCCCAAATATTTGAAGTAAGGCTAATAATGAAAATAACAAGGGGAAAAATACAAAAGCATGAAATTAGATAGTTTGCTAACCTTCATAACTATTGGGCATGATCTGTCAGCAAATTTAACCTGCCAAAACAGGAAAGATAGTAATTTTAGCAGTTCTTTCATGGTAAAAGGCAAAAAAAGCTTAACTATAAACTTCATTTACCAAAGAAAAAAAAAAAGAAAAGACCAGTAATTACAACTTTCAACCCAATTTAAAAATCAAAGGGACAATTAATACATACCATCCAATTTTTATGTTTTTACATATCTAACACTTAATATTTTTTGTTTATTAACATTTATACCATCTTAACTTTCACATCACATCAAAAATATCACAATTTTAACTTTTAAAAACTGAAATACACCTTGCATGCATAGGTTAAGTAATATGATGTAAAAATTGAAGTTAAGGTAAGCGAGTGGCATGTATGTAAATCTTCCAAAATCAAAGTGAGACTAGTCTGAAAAGTATTGCAGATTAAAAAAGAATTCAAAGGCAAACTACCATTTTTTTAGATGAATTATAAACAGGATCTAATCGTCACATAAATGGCACCAAAACTTCTATGGATGATTACTTCCTCGGCTAAAAACCACAAGGTCTGAATTGTTATTAAGTAGAGGAACTAAAGTGAAAAGTGTATATTAACAAAATCCAAAGGGCTTCCTTAAACAATTTTAAACGATTTTTAATTTCTTAGAGCTTACGTCTGATGAAGTCTAATAAAACTTGTTCCAGAATTTTATATTCATTAAACGCCCAATAAATGGGTGAAAAAGGGAACAATCCATTCTATGAATCGCCTAAAAGAATCACTAAAGCCAAATGCTCAATATTTCCCAATGCCAGTTGCTAATTCTACAGAAGAGTACAAAGTGTTAGAATCCTATATAAAACTCTACTTAAAACCCTTCAACTTTTCTGTTTTTCTTTGCCCTAACAAACCAATAAACCTAAGATTTGATTCTGCAAAGCTTCCGCAGACGTTCATAGCCACTCCACCGACCGATAAACGTACGAATTAGGCTTTCTTGCGCCAACTATTATTTAAGAGTATGTGGAGGAAGGGCGATGAAGACAAGTGCAAAATAAGAATACAATTGCCGAGAGATTAGGGTTCTTACCGGTAGAGAGAGATGGGGGAGAAAGCTCTCTCCGAAGAAGGAAGTGGGAGCAAGAGAGAGGGAAGCCATGGAGCCCTGGAGCCCTGCAATCGCTGCCATCACCGCTCGCTGTTCGTCAGCTCGAGCTCACACCTCGAGTAGCTCCTCTTGAGTTTCCTGTGGATAGACCGGCTGTTAACAGTCGGCTAGGTGTTCTATTTATATATTCACCCCTCAAATATTTTTTATGTATTTACATATTCACCCCTCAAATATTCTTGCTTAAAATATATATATATATATATATATATATATATATATATAATAATAATAATAATATTTCTCACATGATGTTAAAAATTTGTGTGATTGCATCTAAATATGAATGTTTAGATGTTAGAGATGTAGATACAAAAGAGTTGTGTATGTAAATGTTCCTTTTCATTTTGACAAATTTGCATAAATAGCACCTAATTTTTATATATTTACATCTCTAAATTTTAAATTTTAATATTTAATGGCCAAGAAAACATTTTAAATTATAAGGCATAATAATTATGATGAGGCACATGAAACAAATTTGGAGTCATCAAAACATAGCAACTATACATTGTCATTTCATGTTGAAAATTTCATCTTCCTAATAGCAATATGACAAGTGGTCTTAAGAATCTCAAAAAATCTAAAATTTTATGTTATATTATGATGGTCGTAAAATTCAAATCATAATAAGTGGAGAGAATGAAGAATAGGCGTGTTAAAAATTGACCCGACATGTCAGCTCAACTTGACCAACACAAACAGACCTGTCAACCTTAAATTGACCCGCCGACTCGGATTAGACCTGATATTGACTCAAGATTAACCCGAATTTAACTTGAATAGTTGTTATTCCTTATGTTAAATGGGTTAGATGGGTTGGGTTCAGGTTAGCGGGTTGAAGGAGGGTCATTTTCGGGTTGGATTTTTTTGACCCGTTTAGTGTTCGAGTTGCGTTTAGGTCAAACAATTTTTTGGTGTGATCAATTTTGAGTCGAACTCAAACCCGATTTGATACTCCTAATAAAGAATAGAAATACAAGTCACCTTAAAATGCTGATTGAAAGTTTAACCGGTCAAGTAAGAGGTTCGTTCAAAACCTTATATATTTGGTATGTGTGAATTTGAGATTAAATTCCCTCAAACCTCGCCAAAAATAAATAAATAAATAAATAAATAAATAAAAGAATAGAAAAAACACATGGTCCATTTTGCACTGATCCATTCTGTTGGTTCATGGGATTCAGATTAAAGTTCTTAATACTATTCAAATTGTATATATATATATATATATATATATATTAAAATACAAATGTGTATAATTTATATTAAAAAAATAATTAAGTCATTAAAATGGAAAAAAAAAATAAGTGGAAAAATACGATAATAAGGTTCTATTTGAATCATCATTCAACACCCTTTAAAAATGATTTTAATCCTCATATCTTGATTAACTATTATTCCATAGCTTATTTTTAAACATATAGTCTTTCTTAGTTCACTTTACAAAAGTTAAAAGCTATAGTAAGAAATTGAGCCATGATATTCTGACCTTGGTTTGATATATATATATATATATATATATATTTATATATACTTTTATCAACCACTCTATAGGAGTTATATTATCACTCGATTGGTGTAGATGGATCCATAGATTGAGACTTGAAAGTGCGTGCGTTTAATTATTGGCATGTTTTATTTGCGTCATTTATATATGTATCACCCAATTCCTATGATTTATATATCTAACACCCAAGTTTAATCTTTTATATTTATTGTTGCATTTATCATTTTCTTAAAAAAAAATTAGAGGTAACCCAAGCCATTTTTCTCTCCGCATCCAATGCTAATAAAATCTCCATCCCATTGACAAAGACGAATCAATTTAATGTCAAACCACGTAAATCATTTCTGAACGCATGTAAATCGTTTCTGTTTGAATGTTGTTGTGTGAATTTCTTCGTTTTCAAATTATTTTGGCATAATATTTATACCACACAAATCTTTTATATCACATTAAAAAAATTCATCATTTAACTTTTAAACAACTGAAATACAGCTTTGCAAGCATAGATAAGGTAGCATGTACCTAAAAATTGAAGTTTAGCTGTTACAAGTTGAAAATACACAAGAATTGATTGGTATGTAAGTAAATTTTCCTTTTTATTTTGCAGATTTGAGAGCGGACTGGAAACTATATGCTAAATACAAAAGAGTGTGTATTATAAGTAAAAAATCTAAATAACTAGCCATTACACAAGACAATTGTGGAGAAATACATAAAAGGAAAATGAGAATAACAATAATTTAAAAAGAAATGGATTAGGAAAGAAACGTTATTCCAATATTTCAAATAAAGGTGTTTAATTTAAATTTGTCCTGAAGAAATACCAAAACCCTCTTAACAAACATGCAATACTCAAAGAGAAAAGAAGTTGGAGAAAGAAAGAATAAATCAAGAGCATTAGGTAGAGAAACTACAAGAAATCCTCCAAATGGCTCAAAAATACAGATTCAAGTATATGATGATGCCTTGGGCTCATTATGTGCGTTGTCCAGGTGTCCGGATGTCGGTGTGGATCGCTGCTTGCACAACGGAATGGTGCAATTCACATTGTCGTCCGGACATCCAGTGGTCCGGAAGTAATATTTTTTTCATTCTTCGACGTCCAATTTAATGGAATTAATGAGAACGAAAGACCTATTACCTCTTCGCTGCCTCGGTCGGCTCCATCGCCAAACATGTCCACAATGGATTTAATCATAACTGTACCAAACATAATATGGACTTAAAAGCATTCGAATTCGATAAATCCAGAATTTATCGAATTTACTAAATCCTATTTAACGTAATTTGTAGATCTAATCAAACACCCTTAAGATTGATGTTATAAGTTTTTTTTTCTCCATCTTATTCCCTAAACCACCCAGCTATATCTTCTTCATCACCAGAATCATTTGCAGCAGTATTTTCGGGAATGGAAGCAGATGATATTTCATGATCATTTTTCCTACAACTTTCTCTTTGTACTACCCCTTTACTCCTCATTTCCTCCTTCCATCTCTCTCTCATAAATTGATCCTTAGATATTGGGCTCTTACCCCCCACAATTGGAAATTCATGAAATTCTGTAGAGCTTTTTGATTCATTTCTTTCGTCATCTTCATCAATGCCACTATATTCACAGAAGCTATACTTTGTAAGGCTCTGAAATTTTGAGCTGCCTTCTTTTATGTGGTTTTTCTCATGGAGAAAGCGCTGAAATGTTGAATCAGAAGACTTACTATGTTGCTCTTTATTGTTGTTCATATTAGATTCAGCAGAACCATCTCCAACACATGCTGCTTTTGGTCTTTTCCAGCCACACTTCAAACAATAATAGTTTTTTCGAAAATTTATGTAATTGCACCTGCGAAATGGAATAATAATCAACAAGTTGTCTCATTAATGCCAAATGCCTGAACCTGCTAGTTCAAGTAAATTATTCATTTACATTTAAAAAAAAAATTTGAGGACTAAATTGACACTTTTATAGGTTATTGGATTAATGTGATTCCCTGTGAATATTTTTCTATTTCAACAATATATGATGGAAGAAAACAAAAGATTTAACCAAAAAAAAAAAAACAATGAAAAAAAGAGAAATACAAATGGTAATGAAGAACTTACGAGGCACATTCCCATTCCCCTGGATTCAACAGCCGATTAGTTGGCTTTTCATTACACTGCAAGCATTTGGCATTCTTGGCAAAGTTCAAGAAATTGCACCTATAAGATATGCGGATATGTGAAAGATCGTAAATTTGAGGTAATTTGGGATCACTTTTGTTTTTTGTTTTAAATTTTCAATTTTATTTTAGTTTGCTTATGTTTTGATTGGAAAACATGCTTTATATTAATGATTGTTTTTAAAAACACTCAATACATTCTAAATTTGTTTTGAGTATTTTTAAGAACATTTCAAATTTTCTTTAAAAAAATTTAAATATAAAAATATGCAAAAAAGTATGTTTTGAAAACCAAGTAAAACAAAAAACAAACTTGATCCCAAACATGATCTAAGCATTAAACCTACTTTTCACAGATCCAGTCTCCTTTTTTGAGAGGAAGATTCTCTCCATCTTCGCATAGTTTAGCAAGCCTTTCTCGAAATAATCCATCACAGCGCAAACATTTAATGTTCTTTGCAAAATTTAAGAAATTACATCTGCAATTTGAAGCAAATCATGATAATTAAAACCAGCAAAGATTTGCCACTAGAATGTAAATTTGGCATTAATTTACACGAACAATACTTCGGACAAACCCAGTCACCCTGTTTCATTGGAACGCTGTTTTGAGGTCTTTCGATCCCGCGCGAAGAAGCCATCCTATGTCTCTCGTCTTCTGGAACGGAACCATAACCCTTGATGCTCAGATTCACTACATCTTTCAACAACTTTCTTATAGATTCATTTAAGGCTAGGTTGAGCCTTGAATTTTTTCCTTCTGATGCATTATTGGCATCAATTCCATATGTTAATAAGATGCGCATAACATCCAAAGTTCTTCCAGCTTCATCCTCATTGGGCTTCACATAGGCCCTCTCACAGTTACCCCTCAGTTTACATGAGCTGCACACCTATATTGTAAAGGAAGATTTTACATGCATACCACTCAACTCTTATTTATTTACATATCTAACACCAAAACATCAATTTTACATATATGCCGCCTAAAGTTAAAATAGTGGTATTTATGATGTGCTATGAAGGATTTAAGTGATATAAATGCAAAAAAAAAGTTTAGGTGTTTGATATGTCAATACATAAGAATTGGGTGAGATGTATGCAAATGCCCCTATTATAAAACAGAAGTAATTAGTATTAATATTAGTATTTATTAAGGAATTTCTATGGCAGCATCTTAACAAACCTCTCCTTCATTAGTACCAACATAAGCCCTCAGCCTTTTCCCTGAATTGACAACTTTTCTGTCTGAACTTGGGCATCCATAACCAACAACTATCCTAATGTCTTTCCTGGAAAGGTATCTAACATAAATATATTCAAATCAGAAGTAGAACGAAATTGCAGTGGAAGGCAAATCGTTAAATGCATAACGACATAATCAACACGAATGCATTTGCAACAAGTAAATATTTTTATGTTTGGCTTTAACAGAAGTGATAAATATCTATTGTGAAAGATTGAAATGAGAATGCTAAGATAATGTGTAAGAAAATAAAAAGAATAATTAAGAATAATTATTAGTTACGTTAGAAGAAAAGTGACAGCCATTAGGATTAACTGGTTCAGAATGTACAATGAAGGGTAGATAAACACAACAACAACAACAACAAAACCTTCATCCCACTAAGTGGAGTAGGCTACATGAATCCTTTTTCTCCATTGAGTTTAGTGTCATATTTTCATTTAACTCTAAGAAATTAAGATCATTTTTTTATACAATATGCCCAAGTCATCCTAGATCTAGCTCTGTCTTTCTTAACACAAGTCGAATATAAAACATTTCTTAACACAAGTCGAAACACAAGTCGAATATAAAACATCTACTCTTCTAATCGAATCATCAGAGTCAACGTTTAATGTGACCAAACCATCTAAAATGACTCTCTCTAATTTTATCTATCACTGGAGCTGCACCAACCCTATCACGGATATATTCATTTCGCATTTTATCTCTAAGTGTAAAGCCACTCACCCACCTAATCATTCTCATCTCCCTCGATAAATGAGTTAATGAAATTAGTGGCCTGTTATTTAAAATGATTTACTTCAATCTTCCTTCGATTTTTTCCTTCATGCTCTGCATATTCTAAAAATTAGTTTTTCTTTTTTCGTCTCAGGCATTTCTACAAACAGTTTGTCTTCTATTCTAACGAAGTCTAACCAACACTCACCTAATCAGCTCGGAGCTCTCTCTCGCGAAAGTGAGGCAGCCTGTTCGTATTAAGTTAGAATCCTTGGAAGAATTGAAGTTCGAAGAAGATGACTGGAACGCGTCGCGATCCAAATAACCACTTTTAAGGAGGTGATCCATGAGTTCCACCCACTCCGGCCATGGATGGGAAATCTCCACCGACCTCACCTTAACCTCTTTCTCCTCCAGATTTCGTGCGGCGGACGGAGCAGCGACGCGTTTCAAAGGTTCGAGGACTTGCGCCTCCTGAAAGAGAAAATCAAGTCTGCGATTGCTAGCGGCTGAGGAGCTCGAGAAAGAAAAGGAGTGAGAGAGGCCGCAGAGAGAAAGAAGAGCTCGGTTCAGAGAAGAGAACGATGGCCGACTCATTACTTTGATAATCAGACGAACTCTATGAATAGTGGGAGTTCTGTGAAGAAATAAAGCTGTAGGGAAAAAGTATGCGGATTTGTAAATAGCAATGTTTCAGGGTGCTATGCAAGTAATTGCCCCTGTATTTTTTATTTCACCAATTTTGGAACTTAACAGCCTGCACTTAGGGGAAAGATTTTAATTTGCACAAACACAATTTTGGAGTCCGGATGTATCCAGACTCCAATGACATTGTAACACGTGACACATTTAAATCAGATTAAGATACAAACAGCGTACAAAATTTTTGTACCCTCATGGTACAAGCAAAGTATAAATTTTATACTCGTCAGATATTACGAGTTTCGTACCATGCTTATATCCTGACACGATTTAAATGTGTCACGCGTCATCCAAACCCTCGTGTAATATTTTTTTGCTCAGAGGGATAAGATTTCTAGTAGAGATTTGTACTAGGTTTAAGCTAGTTTATTTTGAACAATAACAAAAACTAATTGACTAATAATTATAAATTGGGGCATTTACGTGCATATCATTCAATTCCTATGTATTTATATATCTAACATCTAAATTATGATTTTTTATGTTTCGATCTAACACCTAAATCATTCATATCACAATAAAACTATCATTATTTTTATTTTTAAAATGTGATACACTTTTTCATTAATAAATAACTAGGCATATATATGTAAGAAATGATGTCTAGGTGTTAGATATATAAATATATAGGAATTGAGAGGTATATGTTTAAATCTTCTTCATAATTTTGAAAAAAATAATAACTAATTATAAAGTTATATGCTATGGATAGATTTAAATTAAGTAAATAAATAAATAAAAGGCACAACACAAGAAATTATACTTAATCAAACACGAATTTAGATGCATTTTAAATGAAAGTAACTTTAATAGTCATATTTATGAAGCAACAGTTTCAAGTAGTTTGCGATCAAATTGAAAGTCGAACGAGCAAACAACATCAAAAGTGATCCAATTTGAGCTCAAGGAAATTGAAATTAAGTATTTGAAGTATAGTTATAAATTTTGAGATATTAATTGAATAATCAGTTGACCTCCAAATCTTACATATTTCAATTCCAATCAAACATATTAAGGAGAGGAATTCAAAGTGTCTCAGATCACTCAATTTTGAGTCATTATGACACTATGATAAAAAATTAGTCAGCAATCAAACTAATTTAAAAGAATTCTCTCATTGATTAAATCTTTTGAGATTTCAGTTATCTTCCTGAAACATCACTTTACAAATTAAAAAAAAAATACATTATTACACATAATTGATGCTTCAAACTTGAGTTTTGAAAGATATCAGAGATATGTATTACTTTAAAATTATGTTTCACATCCACATGTATCTGACAACCACTATTTGAACAACATCGCTTAATAATCATCTTTCAAACAACGCCGCCTAGCATCATCGTTCAACCATATTCATTATCATTCGACCATTGTTATTTGGTCGCCATCACATCGCCCTATTGTTATCACACACTCTTCATTTTTACGTGTACTATTTCAACCTCAATCAAATAATATCGCCCAATTATTAATGCCCGACTACAAATGATCATCTTCATCCAACCACTACTCTAGATCAATTTTGATAATTTTGACCTTCTGAACACACTTAGCTCCCATTATCTGATTATAATCATCGTCACACATTATTACAATCACCAATAATCATCACATGATTATGATCTTCTAACTACCATCACTTGCCTACAATCGCTCAACACATCGCATGACCACAATCACCAGACTATGATAACTTGACTATTGTTTCTCCAACACCTTCTCGGATAGGAATAGTTTCCCATGATGGCTCCAACTTAACAAAGCAAGCAACGTAGTTTGAAGAGTGTTAATGGTGCTTTGGCAAAACACAGTGGGCTGAAGAGCTAATTTGACGATTGGTCAATTAGATGGAAGTGAAACCCTGAGATCAACGGCGATAAACTGTACTTCATCAAAATGAGTGGAACGTGGATATGAGCCTTTAGCCTCCATTTCAAATGCTTCGGCTTTTCAAATTTCAACGGCTATCTATTCGAATTTTCCACCGGAGGAGCTAGCAGAGATGCCCGATAACTCGCGAGTTCCGTCTCCCGCTACGTTACAAGATGGAACAACGTCTCATCTCTCTTCTCCAAGCTTCACCTTCTGTCTACCACCTAAGGCAAATTCACGCCCTCATCACCAGGGCTTGCCCTGCCCTAACTCGTGTCTTCCTCAGTTTTTTACTGAAACAATCCACTATTCACTATGCCCGTCAAGTGTTCGACGCAATGCCCCAGCCGGACTCATTTCTTTCCAATTCTATCCTGTCCGCACACTCCAAGTTATCTTTGCACTGGCAGGCGCTAGAAATCTTCTTTCTTTCGCACCGTAAGAACATCCAAGTCATCTCTTTTTCCATTCCATCTGTGCTTAAAGCCTGCGCGTCATTAGCTGTGTCTGATGCTGGAAAACAAGTCCATTCACTTGTTCGGAAGCTAGGATTTTTCTCAAATCCATTTATACAAACAGCCTTGATAGATTTTTATGTAAAAAATGATAATATATATTCAGCTCAGAGGATCTTTGACGAGATTGCTGTAAAGGATCCGGTTCCTTACAACTCTTTGATGTCCGGGTATTCCAAATCTGGCAATGTTGTTGCAGCACGGAATCTGTTTGATGAAATGCCGCAGAGGACTTCTTCCTCATGGAATACAATCATCACTTGCTATGCACACCAGGGGGATTTTGATGAAGCCTTGAGGTTATTTGAAAGAATGCGTGAAGAAGGATTTCAATCGAATGAGATCACAATTGTGATAGTTCTATCAATATGTGCAAAAGTAGCTGATTTAGAAACAGGACTGAAGGTTAGGAAACTCATAGATGATCACCATTCCAGAACTAGTTTGATTGTTCGGACTGCAATTTTGGAAATGTATGTAAAGTGTGGCGCTGTTGATGAGGCACGACTGGAGTTTGATCAGATGGACCTTAGAGATGTCGTTGCATGGAGTGCTATGATTGCTGGTTATGCTCAAAATGGGAGATCAAATGAGGCTTTGGAGCTATTTGACAAGATGCAGCTCCAGTGTTGTGAGCCTAATGAAGTCACTCTTGTAAGTGTTCTGTCTGCCTGTGCCCAATTGGGCTCTGTGGAGGTTGGAGAGCGTATTGGAAGCTATGTTGAGAAGAAGAGTTTTAATTCTAGTGTTTATGTTAACTCTGCACTCCTTGATATGTATGCCAAATGTGGAAATATCGAAAAAGCTTGCCTTGTTTTCGATGAGATGTCTCGAAAGGATATCATATCATGGAACTCAATGATAGGTGGTTTGGCCTACAACGGGCTCGCAGTGGATGCAATCAATCTCTATTATAAGATGATTGAAGAGAGCCTCAAACCAAGTGAGATAACTTTTGTAGGACTTCTAACTGCATGTACTCATGCTGGATTGGTTGATTTAGGGCTCAAATTCTTTCATAGTATGAGATGTGAGCATAAAATTGTGCCAAAGGTTGAACATTGTGCGTGTATAGTTGATCTTTTCTGCAGATGTGGAAGGGTGGAAGATGCTTTAAAATTCATATGTGAGATGGAGATCGAACCTAATGTAGTTATTTGGGGAACACTGCTGAGTGCATGCAGAATTCATTCAAATATAGAGCTTGCAAAGATCTCAATGAAGAAGCTATTGGAACTGGAGCCCGAGAACTCTGCTAATTATGTTCTTTTCTCAAATTTGTGTGCTGATGCGGGCCACTGGGAGGAAGCGAGGAGTATGAGAAAACTTATGATGAGCAAAAATGTGCAGAAGATAGCTGCATATAGTTGGATAGAATTGGATGATAGGTTACACAAGTTCTTGGTTGGCGATAGGTCACATTTCAGATGTGATGAGATATATGATGTTGTCGACGGACTAAGCTTACAGTTAAAGTGGGTCCAAGACCTTGATTTAGATCAGCCATTTTGATGTTTTATGTAAGAGAAATAGTGTTATCTCTGCTCAAAATTCTCTAATGAGGATATTTTGGGGGTAATAATGCTTCATTATATTTATGTTAAATTGAAACTAATTTTTCAATTTTTTTTCTTAAAAAGGTTGGTTCTCACTTGGATGTCAGGTGTCACGAGTTGTTGCGGTCTTGAGATCAAATACCCCACTACACCAAATTTATCCTTCGGTGCTCAACTTTCCAAAAAAAATTGTTGAGCTTAAAATAAATGCCTTCATCATCTTGCCACTTTCTATTGTTCATGCCTTCTTTACATCATTATGTTGGTTGAAGAATTGCAACCTTGAATGTTCCCCAAGGAAGTGGACTCTTTTGTCATTACTAACACATTCGCAAATGTCCTCATAAAAACAAGCAGATAAAAAGTTAAGGCTAAGGTAAATAGAATTGCAGAGAAAGTTATTTTTGTATGTTTGATTTTTTGGCATTGGTATTGTGTTTACTTCACCTTTGCCCAACATCAAGTTCATTTCTTTTTTCAAAACTCCCAACCTAATGCAGAGAATTTGACTGCATTCACTTTACAGGTATTTATTTACATTGCTAAGTATTTTGTAGCAAATTAACTAGCTCTCAATATTACCTTAATTATTCTTTTTGCCTGCTTAATCCTTTCTTGTTAACATGATTCTTTGGTATGAAGTTGGAGTTTCTCTTTTTAGTTTCTATGTTGTCAAGATATAATATGTTTCTTCTAAATTAATAGTATGTTTTTGTTTGTTGAAGATATTAGCTATATTACATAACAAGGAACTTACAAGCAATTCCAGATTATGGAACTTAGCAAACAACTGCCTGGAGGTTCTTGTCAGGGCTCTATTGTAGGGAGTAAGACAAAAAGCTTTTGTTACCATTTGTATGCATTGTTACTTTTATGTTGGCTTGCAGTAATGTTAGTGAAATAAATTTAATTTATGCTCGAATTTATTGGACAATAAAAGCAGTTGGTTAGGCTAAAGTCATGTTGCAGTTTTTATTTCTAATATATTCATTTTAAATTAACATGTGGAGAAGTTTGGGAATGTTTCCGTGAAGAGAAGTCTATGTTGTGAAGCCCTACAAAAGAACGGGCTTGAGAGGGATTCTTTTCTAATGGAAAAGGAGAAGCTTAATGTGGAGTATGATATCAGCTCCCTCTGCGAGCTGTATTCCTTTATAATTTCCCTATTCTCTTAAAAATAAGCTTTTATTTAGGGAATCAAGAGAATGTTTTAAGATATGTTGTCATAGCATATTATGGCGTTAAATCGTATTCATAGTCTATTTTTTTCTTGAAACAAGATACTTGGATGAAACCATACATTTTGAGGATAACCATTAAACTCTCAAAATGCTGGATGCACTCGAGAGGATCACTAGTACCCTAATTTAGTCTCATGTAGTTGTAACTTATGGGACTATACTCCTTGAGGAAGAAGAATGACTAGGTTTCTTGAGGATTTGACTGTCAAATGTGTTAGAGGCCAAATAAAGCTCTTGAGAACCTTAGAATTCAGTTGATCTGACTGTCAAATGTGTTAGAGGCCAAATTAGTGAACTTGTAGAAATGAGAAGATCATATTTAGAGAAGGGATGTTTTCTCCACTTAAGATTTGGACTCGAATTTTATCAAAATCTTTATAAAGTTATGCAAGAAACTCAAACTTTCTTTCTCTTTTCACAAATTGCTTGAGGATTATTGTATCTTCACAACATGTCATTTTGAAATCTTTGTAAGAATCTAATTCAAGCCAATAAACTTTAACGGCATTAAAATATTCAATGACATGAATGTTATCTTTCTTGGTGGTGGAGAGTTTCATTTTGATCTCGTAGATAATTGCTACTTCTTTGAATTTTGAGTAAATTTATTAGATGGCATTCCAAACTTTTTTCTTTTTTATTCTTTTTTTTTTTGTGGTAGATAGGAGATGTATGACCACTAATTTTCAACAATATGGTTTTGCACAACCATATCATGATCATACAACCCGTTTCTTCCCAAAGTATAAAGCTTGGGTTTTTCGTCTCTAGAGATAAGTCTACGAGATGTTGGATTTTTCTTTTTTCTTTTAGAAAATTCTTCTCATTTGAGACCACTTCATATAATTTCTCTCATTCAAGTAATTGAAGTCCATGAAATTCTTCTTTAGTTTGATTTTCACCATTCATAATGGTTGACTCCTTGTTAAAGAAATCAGACATTATGATGGCAAGGAAGAGCTCCGACCAAAAAATGATTGAAAAAAAGGAGGAGAATATATGTTGGAAGTAGAAAACCTTGACTTGATACCATGTAAAAGAAAAGGTGACTAGAAAAGCTTGGCAAGTTCATTCTTTCAATGAATATTTATATACAAAACTACATAATAAAGGAAATAAATAATTACAATAACAAATATAAAAATTGCCTTTAGATATCTGTTTTTGATTATTTAGAGATTATCGATTGATGTTAAAGGCGAAATCCATGAGCTCTTTCTATCTTTTTTTATATATAAATCCATAGGTGAGGCATTTCATTATAAGCAATTGAATTAGTAGCATCTACTTTTTTCTAAACTAGCCCTTCTTGACTTGATAGCTCTTCAACAATCTAGTTGGTAGGGCCTATTTGGTTTGGTGCATATTAACTGATGTTGTATTCATATAGGTAGATACAAAATCATACCTTTATGAGCAAGTTGAGCATCAAGTTTATAAAAATGTCTTTTTTACTCAGGATTTGAACGATGCATCAGCCAAAAACAACCTAAACAATCATAAAATTTTGTACGGTATGTTAATGTCATCGTTAAGTAATGCTACACTTTCTCAGAATTTGTATCATATGCCATGTGGCCTTATATAAAATAGACAAGAATATGATAGTGAAAGTCGATATAGCACATAAAAAATTGAAGTTCAAATTGAGCTCATCTTTGCTAACCATTACATTTATTGCACAAACTTCTCCGCTACTCTATTATAAGAATTGATGAAAATGGGATTAGAGATTCAAGAAATGACCCCTTCAGCCTTGTGGTCATTGATTTTGTATAGACAAAACTATTGCTCATTTCTTGAATCAAAAGTGAGAGTTTATATATCTTTACACCTTAAAACCATCCATTGGAGATTATAGCTATGTCCTTGCTTATGAAAGACCGTCAGTTTTAGGCAACTATAACTGTTTGACAAAACAACTGTAAAGTTATTACACAAGAAATTGATGTTAAAAAAAATGTGATAATAATTTTTTTTTTTTTTTTTTTTTCAAAAAGTTAGACCGCGCCCTAAACCCGAAACCCATCTTTCTGGCAGTCTCCGCACTTAGTCAATTGCAAAACACAACTTTTTCACTACAGCTTTCGAAAAACTACACTACCATTGCACCACAACCACAAAGTACGGTGCAACACCACACTATCATCGCACCACTGCCCCAAATGCATTAATTGTTCAAATACACTGCAACTTTATTATTCATAAAAATTTTTTTTTTTTTAAGTATCTTTATTTTGAATATGAGTGAAAAAGTTATAAAGTTTATGCCTTGAATCAATAATAATATTCACAAGGGTTTTTACATTCTTAATTTAGTATAATATTTTCCCTTCTAAATATTTGAGTTTGAACATCCTTTGCTTGACTATGACAATCAAATTCATAGGACTCAAATCTCCAATAGAGATGGATCAAGATTTCACTCTTCAACTGAAGTGAAGAGCTAAAATTTTAAATTGTGAAGCTCAGAACATCAAGATTGACAGGATAATAGCCTTATTGCCAAAATACAAATGATAAGATATATCATCTATTGGAGTTCGTAATTGGGAGGCAATAATTGCATTTGTATTATCCATAGGGCAAATCCAGTGCGTCCATTGCAGTTTTGCATCCATGCATGACAAGATTTTTACTTTTAAAGCTCAAATCATCTCATATGCAATTATCATTCGTAATAAAATCTCTTTGCATTGGTTCTATACACTCTTAAACTTAATCTGAAATCAAATGCGCCACCTAACAATTGCTAAAATAATTATAAGCTGTAACTAAGATCTTAAAATCAAATCCATCTAACATAAGATTTATGCTTTAATATCTACCTTTTTATTATTCATGAAAGAGCACATGTCATATATCAAAAATAGTAGTATATACCCTCAGGCTCTTGCCTACCATACATGACTTATTAACATGGCAGCTAATTCAAACAAGTTTTTTTTTTTTTTTAATTTATGAGTACATGTGCCCACTGATCATGGAATCAGTAATATCTTGCCAACATGAACACTACTCTCCATTATCCTGTGAGCCTCTGCTGCTTCAGAAAGTGGAAGAGTCTTGTACACAATAGGTTTCACCTTACCTGCTTCAATAGCTGGCCAAACAAGCTTCTCAACCTCTGCAACAATCACTGCTTTGTTCTCAGGACTTCTGCTTCTCAGTCCAGCACCTACAATGAAAATAGCAAACCACTATTAGCTATTTCTTACAAAAGCAGTTGTTATTATCACTACAACCTTCAAATTGAAATTTGAAAATTTTGCTGTTAATTCGGGGAAATGCATAATTTGTAGGTCCTCTGTTTGGTTTGAAGGAAATAGTAACTTCATTTCAAATCATAATTATGCTTTAGCTGGTCATTTTTTATTTAAATGGAGAGGAATGCAGTTTACATAACACACATTATTTCCAATATTATTTTCCCACCAAATACTACAGAAAAATCTAAGAAAATTTAATCAGACTTTATTCTTGGCTCAAGTTCACAGTTGATAGAAGTCATATTTGCATCGCAGTCAGTTTTCCACTGCCTGTATTCCTCTTCTGCGATATCTCCAACATATCGATTGCATTTCCTCTTCTCTTAATTTCAGCAACCACGCCTTCTAATGGTGATGATGATTGATGATATCAAGCACGTGCTTCCTTCCTAGAAGATACGGCTATAGCCATAAACCAACACTATTACAGAAATAATGGTGCGATAGGAGGAAAACTCTTTTCTACTGCTAATAATCTCAAAAATACTAACTCTAGATAATACTTACTAGTTTCTGACACAAAAGAGCAGAACATTTCAAATAAAAAGGTTGGTAATTCTGATATAAAGAGGTCAATACCTTGTACAGTCAAGCGTCTTGCAAGAATGGATGATAAGTTGACCTCAGTAATTGCTCCTCCCTGGAAACCAATGATGAAAAGCCTTCCATCCACATTTAAGCTATTGAGATTACGCTGAAAGTAAGCTCCTCCAACATTGTCCAGTATAACATCAACACCTGTGGAGCTAGAAGCTTTAGATTTGGCACTGCAATCAAGCTAAGAGAGCTGACATTGGAACATACCCTTTCCTCCAGTTTCTTCCTTAATCCGTGCAACGAAATCTTCAGTTTTATAGTTTATGCAGACATCAGCACCTAAATCCTTGCAGGCGGTAAGTTTCTCTTCACTTCCTGTTATTTAAAGAATGTGAGAAATGTAAAAAAAAAAAATTGATTTGAGTAAATTTTTTATTTTGTTTTAATTTTTGGCAGAACACCTGCGGTGACAAATACCCGTATCCCATAGTACTTAGCAATCTGGATAGCAAATGTGCCGATGCCACTAGATCCCCCATGAACCTATACAAAGAAAAGTGCGGGAATAATAATGTCATCTTTTTAAACCCTTTTTTAAGACTATATTTCACTTCAAATTGATTTTTAAAATGCACGACAAATCAAAACTGAAAAATAAAAGTCAGAAATTGCATCTCCACGATGTTCACAAAGACAAGATTCCATTCTTTTAACAAGAGTTTGGTCATGACATGATTATATAACATAGGCCATTCATGTCATCATTATTTATTTTATGTCATTCGGATTTCATGAATTTTTGTTTATTGTCATTGCTATTTGACACATTTATCGTGTTTGTTAAGTTCTCATTGAGTGCCCTTTTCTATAAAAAGGGTTCTTTAAAGTTAGATATATATATACATATATATATATATATATATATATGTATGTATGTATGTATATAACATGTGTACACGCACACACATGCTGCACATTTATGTACTAAAAGTTAAAACACACAAATAAGTGCACATATCATAGATTGAATGATTTTGATTGAATGATTTTGAGTTAAATCTAACTTATTGAAGTGAGTAACTTCGAGTTGAAGGATATTGATTTGAATCGTGAGTTGATTAGAATTCGAGCAAGTTTTTAGTTTTGAATATAATTTCCAACCCTATGCAGAAGCATAAAAACAAGCCTACAATAAACTCAAAAGCATATGGCAAAAAGCATTGATGTAAATAATGTATTAAACAAATGGTAAACAAATGACACAGACTCCAAAATTTCAACAACTGGAATATCATGAATTATCCTTTTGATATAATACTGATACAAGTGAATTCTTAAATTTTACTAAAAATTAAAATCCAGAGTCATCTTAGTATCCCTAAGTTAATGGCAACCTTCATATACCATATATTTTTCTGATCATCCACTTGGCATAACCTTTTTTTCTGCTAAAAGATGGATTGCACAAATGTTTAACAGGAGCAGAGAATATAGCAATTAAACAATGTTGCAAGAAAATCACCAGAAAAGTTTCCCCAGCTGTCAAGTGGCTCATCATGAAGACTGTCGACCAAACGGTGCAAGCTACCTCAGGAAAGCTCGCAGCATCAGTTAAAGATATGCCTTTTGGAACTGGAAGCACCTGTCCAGCTGGTACTGCCACCTTTTCTGCATATCCGCCTCCACTGAGAAGTGCACATACCTATAAATATGATATGGATGAGAGTGATGATCAGCAATCCATTAGGATATATCCTGACTGATGCAGCTACAACATAATCAACATAAATCCTAATCTAATATGAAGATAAAGTCATAAAAGTTCATATCAATGTATGAATCCAGTATCGCTAGTTGTACTTGACGGACAAAACTATTATGAAACAAAAAGAATAAGATCGGATTAGTGATTCTCCAGAATAGAGTCTATCAGACTAACTAGCAAGGTATCAAAGGAGAATTACTGTAACATAATTAGTAGCATAACACTTCTAAACTATTTGATGTTAACCAGGACAATTTCAATACAAAAGTTGTTCCCAGCAAATAAATAATGAAACCAGCCGAATATACATTGCAATCAATGGTTTTAATTTGATTCCATAGATCGATCAACTCAAACAATCAAAAGGTAAGATGCACTTTGTAGATTTCTAAGTAGCCTGATACTTAACTATAACTTACTGATCCAGATCAAAATATTATGCAACAGATAGTAGCTCTACACTCCAAAATCAATATAACAAATATAACATAATTCAAACTGCAGAATAAGAAAAAATCCTTCAATTTCAGCAAAAGTAGCACACTGCTGAATCTCGAATCTCTCGCTTTACCTGATCGCCAACCTTCCAGCGATCCACGGATCGCCCAACGCCGATGACGGTGCCGGAACACTCGAGCCCAAGGAACGGACTGGCGCCCTTCGGTGGAGGATGGAATCCCTTCCTCTGGAGGGTATCGGCCCGGTTCACGCCGGCGGCCTCCACCTTGATGAGAACCTCACCTTCGTTGACCTCCGGCTCGTCCACTTCTTGTAGCTTGAGAACCTCGGGACCACCGGGATTCGTGATTTCCACCGCCTTCATCGTTTCCACCGAGAAGTTTCCGGCTATGAACTTAGGGTTTCAGTAACACTGACGCGAAGACGGGACGACGTTAACACGTTGGATAATTGTCTCAAGTATTGAGAGCGGGCTTGTCGCTTTCATTGGCTTAACAAATTATATGCATCTTCAATTCTAGCTTTGCTTAATTTTTAGGCCTTTCAATGGAGATGAGTCGAGTCTAACATGTCATGAATTGAAATTAACTTAATAAATCATATGCATCTTCAATTCTAAATAATTATATTTGATTTGAACTTACGTGTTTATATTACTTAAACAAGTTAAAATTTTGCAATAAAACACTTAAATTTTAATATGAAAATATTAATGAATAATTTTACAAACATAAATAAATAAGTAATTGAATAAATTTTGAATTAGACTCTAATTATTTTATACTAATAACCTTTTTATAACCAATTAATATACATAACTACTAGCACTAATTCATTAAATAAAATTTAATAAAAAACAAATTAAATTTATATGAATACTAATATTAAATTATAATATTTTACTATTACATATATAATTTAATGAGTTGAACTAAGATTAAATTTAATTAATTTAATCTCCAACAATAAAAGAATATTTAAATTTATTTATTTATTAATTTGAGCAAATATGAGCAAATATGACCAAATATTAATCAACCTGAGTTCAAATTCATCGTCATATGCATTGATTCATCTATAACCCACGCTTTAATTAACTTTCTTGCACAAGTAATAAATCGTACATCAATAATCAACATCTAAATGCTTGTTGCATGCATCTTTGACACAAAATATACCCAATAGTATTCATTTCTTTACAAACGATTTTGCCAGCATTCCAAACCCTAAATATCGAAATTGTAGTAGCAGCAGCTTTGCACTTGATACAATTAAAAAAAAAAAAAAAAGATGCAAATTTTATATACATAAATGCTAAATCCTGTCTAAACTAGGGAAACTTATGAAGTCCGGTGAACCGCACGTCCAAACAGCAGCGACGATCTGACCATGTCACCATGCATTTCCTGTGGACGGATTGTCGACGGTGTCCGGACGTGAGGACACCGGACGTAATAATTTCCCCAAAACTAGGAGCATGCAATCCTATTCGTTGTCATCAGCAAGTAACCATCTCAAGTACTCATCCCCATTTTCCATGATGGACGAACAGTCAACCGGAACAACTCTTTTCCTCGTCAACGCCTCAATGGTTACTCGCTCCCTTTTCCGCCCCCCTCTCGGCCTTGACCTCCACCGTTCATCAGCTTCCAGGAAATCACCCTTTATAACAAACCCAAAAAAAAAAACAAAACTTACTTAGATAATGAGATTACATTTCTGCAGACCAATAAATTTCAAAATATATATGGCTTTAACTCATGAGGTTAAAGAAATAATCTGCTCCCACAGATCCTTTCAAGTTGACAGAAGATTTACATACATAACACTCAATTCCTATGTATTTACATATTTAACACCTAAATCTTAATTTTTACATGCACATCACATTACCTAAATGGTAAAGATTTGGGTGGTATGAATGTAAAAAAGTAAGCTTTAGGTGTTGATATGTAAATTCATAGGAATGGGCTGGTATGTATGTAAATGTCCCTATTAGAGTGTAAACATGAATAAAAGGTGAAGATTGAAAAGGATGACAAATAATCAGAAAGCTTCATCGTCCGGTACTACAACATAACTTATGCATAGCATTGGTGCTAAAAAAAGGAAAAAGCAAATAGGAATATTTAGATGCATACCATTCAATTCTAATGTATTTACATATCTAACATATCTAACACATAAATATCAATTTCTACATACCTTACCTATGCATGAAAAGGTTTATTTCCCTTATTTAAAGTTACAATGTTGGTATTTTTGGTGTGATATGAAAGATTTAAGTAATGTAAGGTGCTGGATATGTAAATACATAGGAATTGGGTGGTATGCATGTAAATGCACCACAAAAAATAAGGCTTGGCTCCAGAAAATACCTGCTCGTAAACATGAGTCTTCTCATGATTATCTCTAACATGCTTGTAAGGGAAAGTTTGCTGACATCCAGATGTTCGACATCTAAATGGCCTCAGTTTTTCATGAACAGCTTTAACATGCTTATTGAGGTTTGATTTCTGCAATAAAGAAAATAGAATACTTGAAACCATGAGAAACCGGAGAAAAAATAAATTAAGTATGCTGTAAGTTTACAAAAACAATTAAAACTTCATCTTCCTCATTTGGCAATATTAGAAATTTCAAACAAAAGTTAGTCAATGGAAAGAGAAAAAAAAAATCACATGGAACTTATGATTAAAAGGTGAAGAGAACTCTCTAAGAAAAAATAATTGAAGTTTACTTTTGAATATGTTTGTTCGCATCCCTGAAAACTGCATTTGATTCTTTCCTCTGAAACTACACCTTCATGCAACCTTTGATGCCGCTTAAAATTTTTCCTCAATTGTTGGGTTCCACATTTCTCACATTTAACGTATCTGTGACAAGACTGAATATGGGCCTTCAGGCACTCAGAATTTGTGAAAGGCTTCATGCATTGAGGTTCTCCACAATAAATTTCCAATGATTCCACTTTCACTGTATCATAAAAAAAATAATAATAATAAGATTTCAATTTTGCATACCCATACAAAATACCAGAGATAACTAAATCAAACTGAAAATTTTAATTTTTATAGAGCAAGAGCCTTATTTGAGACACCAAAATTATAAATTTTTAATTGATGAAAGAAAAAAACTTGAAATAGTTGAAACAATAAAGGTAACGACAACAAGTTACTTACAGTGGGAATCTTCATGCTTCTTTAATTTAGATGCAAACATAAATATCTTTCCACATCCAGGTTCCTCACAAACATGCTGCTTTTTGCCTTCACACGGCAATTCATCAACATGATGTTCGTTCACGTGCCTCGTCATATTTCCTTGGAAGGTGAATGTGCGATTACACTTTTCGACAGGGCAATTAAAGACTTTGCCCTGGTGTTTGAGTAAATGTCGATTTAAATGATCCTTACGTCGGTAGATAAAATAGCAATCCTCCACTGGACAAGCAAATGGTCGCTACAATAGGAGTATTGAAGATCAGCCACAAGCTTAAACAAAAACATTTGAACGCCTCAAAAAGATCATAATAAATATCATTACATAATTCAAAAAATAGAACTTAATTAATTTTATATCACAACTTTACATGCATAAATAAGGAAAAAAAAATCAAAATTTCATGAAAGTTAGAAGTGAAAATGCAATCATAGAAGAAGATAAATAAGAGCAATCAATGAAAGAATAACAGAGAAAGATTGAACAGAAGTTTGCATGAAAGATTTTGAATTAAATAGCAGGACTTTAGAATAGGAAACGAGACAAAATATCTGAAAATCATCCAGAGGAAGTAAGATTTCACAAGAAGCAAACCTCGGGTGAGATGGTGCGTGAGTCGAGGCTTTCATGATGGAGCTTCTCAGGAGGTCACCCACCCTGATACTAGTCCAATCAAGAAAAGAATGCCACCTCTTTGCATTTTGGAGTTCATTATGGGATCCAATGCTTCCACGCTTCTCAATATATATATATATATAAATATATTTTGAGGGGTAGATATCAATCAAGGAACCTAATGCCTGTAAAAACTGTTCCGTTAATTCAGAAAAAAAAAATTAAAAAAAGCATAAGATAATATATCCGCATGATAAATTGTTCTATAAAAACAAGCAATTCAATCACAGCTTGCATTAAAGAAAAAAAAACAGTTACGATGTTAAATCAACATTACATTAGTATACCTACAAAATAAATGATTCTTTAACATATGGTACATAAGATGAATACATTTGCATGACAAATCTTCTATGGAGTACTTTTTATGTGGATACATAATGGGAACAATGATGTTTTAATTAGGAAAAAGATAACGCAGCTTGCATTAAAAGAAAAAAAAACCGTTACAAAGATTATTTAAATCAACATTACATCAGTATACCTACAAAATAAATGATTCTTTGATATATGGAACTTAAGATGAATATATTTGCATGACAAATCTTCTACTGAGTACTTTTTGAGTGGATAGATAATGGGCGCAATGATATTTTAATTAGGAAAAAGATAAGGGCAAATATGAAAACCTCAACCGAGTGACTTCTCATATGCTGCACTAGATGAGCTGGTTTCCAGAAACTTGCGCCACACTCCTCACAAGTATGTCGCACCTTCTGATTTGCTGCCTTAAATGCACTGATTTCATCAATTTTTACAGTTTGAAATACATCCTGCATGTTTAAAGCCATTACATGAAGTTAAAGAACATGCCAAAACTGTGGAAATAAAAAGGAAACAAGTGAAGAAACTATGGTTGAGGGAACTTGATGCTTTTATTGAGCTTTGTTAGAAGAATTATTCCTGCTAGTAATTATGAGGAATAAATTATTTCATCAGATTAAGAGATTTTCATTTCCTAATTTATATTTATTTCCTTGGATTATGAGTCATTTTCTTTCCTATTTCAGGCTTTCTATTTTATGTTTTTCTTCTTATCTCAAAATAATTAAGATGAATTAATTAATATGAGATATTACAAGATATATCTTTCATTTCCTATTATATCTCTTTTATCATCTTTCCTATTATGGGATTCATGAAAGTATCAAAAAAAATAATTTCACTTTATTTCGCATTATTCTGGGTTTCAAACATGATATCAAAACCAAATTCCCTACCCTAGCAGTCGGTCCTCCCTCCAGAGTCGTCGGACTCCTTGCCATTCTCCCTGTACTTGGATCCTGCATGTTGTCCTATTTCCATTCTGCCAAGATATTAGCTCGTCGTCTTTTCCGTCTGACTAGTTTGTGAAGCGCATTCATGTTGTTTCCGCGATGATGTTTTGAAGCTTACGAGAAGAGAGAGCTAGGGCCCGTTCATTTCTCCATCACTTTCTCTTATTTATCTTTGTTGTTACAATTTTCTTTCACTTCTGTCCTTTTCCTAAATTTTTAAAAATTCTATGCTTTGATTGATATGTGGAAAAAACTAAGAGAGCATTTAGGGTGTTGCATGTGGTGACATTGTTCCTGGCAATCTTGTCGGAGGTGGAGAGTGCATATCGAAGGATACCTTACAGTGAGAAGGTGATCTACACGATGATATGACTTTTCAACTTTCTAGTCTGTAGTCAGCTTCTCTTCTATGGCATCCACTCTACCACCAGTGTGGATCTGTTATACTAGATGCATCTAATTCTCGCATCCAACAGAGAAGTTGTTATGGTGTTAGGCATCACTTCCATTGTGACATCTGAACTAGTTATGCAGTTGTTGATTGGATCCAAAGATCGGGCTTTGTTTAATGGAGCACCAAAGTTACTTGGCATTCTAATAGCAATAGGAGAGGCAGTGGCCTGTGCTATTTCTAGAATGTATGGCATTGTCAGCCAACTTGATTTTGGTTTCCAAAAGGTGAGACTTTCGTTTTTGTTCTACTTTGTTTTTACTACACCTAGCCAGGCTACGGTCGCATTGGATGCTTTGCAAGGTTATTGTTTTCAAGAACATGATCGAGAGTCGACCCGTTTGAGGCTGCAATTTGCTCGCTTCCTTAGTCCACGTTCATCTGTCGAGCCTCATAGTTAGCATTGATCTTCTGGAGTTGTATTTCATGCAACGAAAGTGTTTTTTGAATGTTATTTGCCGATTAGAAAATCTCCTCCTCCCTGAGCATTTTGTCATTCGTTCTACTGAATTCCATTCCTAGTCTTTCTCCGGTAGGCTCCTTTTTTTGTATCGACATTTCATGTGAGAGATGTTGGCCAATTAAATTGCCTTCACCGATTTATCCCTTTAGACATCCAAACCTTTTTGTCGCCCGAAAATCTTTTTTATTAATGCTCTAGAATTTTTTTATGCAGCAGGCTCTCCTCTGGACTTTTGTCCTGCATCAGGTCCTCCTCCAGAGCCTTCTCAAGCATCAGGCCCTCCTCCAAAATCTTTCCCGCAGCAGACCCTTCTCCGAAACTTTATCCTGCATCAAGCCCTCCTCCGAAACTTTATCCTGCATCAGGCCCTCCTCTGTAATCTTTCCTGCATCAGGCCCTCCTCCAAAATCTTTCCTACAGCAGACGCCACTCCTCCAAAACTTTTTCTTGCATCAGGCTCCTCTCTAGAATCTTTCTTCAAGCAGATCCTCCTACAAAGCTTTTGTTGTAGCTGGCCCTCCTCCAGAGCCATTTTTCTATATCAAGTCCTTCTCCAGAGCTTTTCCTACAGCAAGGTCTACCTCCAGAGTTTTTCCTTTTTTTGCAGGTCATACACTGCAGTTTTTCCAGTTGTTTGTCTACTTCTCTGCAAACTCCCCTAAAACATTACTTGTATGAGTTTTTCGCCTACCTAGAGGCACTGCAGTCAAAGACAACCACATTCAACTAGAAGTGAGTTTTTCTACAGGTTGTCTACTTCACTGCAAACTCCCATTCAGCATCACCTATAAGAGTCTTCTATCTACCTACATACACTTTAGAAACTGCAATCAAAGACAAACACAGTGTCAACTTCCCTGCAAACTCCCCTGCACCATTACCTGTAGGAGACTTTCGCCTACCTATAGACACTGAAAGAATTCCAGTCAATGACAACCGAAGTACGGGTTCAAAACTTCAAGTTTTACTTAACAGGATCTTTTTCGCTCATTGTTTTCAAATCCAAGTTGAATATGATTTTAAATCTTATTTCAACTTGAGAGAGTGTGTTAGAAGTTATATTAAAAAATAATTTATTCCCGAGAGAAGTTATGAGGAATAAATTATTTCTTTATATTATGAGTTATTTTCAATACTAATTTATATTCATTTCCTTGGATTATGAATTATTTCCTTTTCAATTTTAGGTTTTCCTATTTCATGTTATTTCCTTTTATCTCCAAATAATTAATATGAATTGATTAATTCGAGATATTAGGTGATATATCTTTCCATTTATTTTATTTCTTTTTTTAATGTTTTTCCTATTCCATGATTAGTGTAAGGGTTATTTATACCTCCTCATATCAATAAAAAAAATTTCATTTTTTTCCGCATTATTTTGAATTTCAAACAAGCTTCAAAAGAGAACTTAATACTCATCTAAAAGTTTGTGTTTCTTGAGAATGCAATTTATGCACATCCATTTTTAGTTTTTGTTTCCCAAATCATTTCAAGTGTAGAACATGCCATATCGACTCCTACGAGAATTGACGTTATTCTCTAGTGTTTTTAAAAAGTTGTTAGAGAAGTGTGAATGTGAATCCCCATATCACATGCTTCTATGTCCACCCTACCACTTAGCTAGATGGATGGTAAATCACTCCTTCCAAGTGCAATGAAGGTTGCTGATCTAGCCCACATACATTATTGATCACCCGCTAAAACCCTGTTCAGTTAAATATTTTTATCCATATTTTAGGGCAGACATTCTGCAACTTTACCTACTGCAACCCTTCTTTATTGCATCACATCTCTGCTCGTCATGTTGTTGTCTCCTTTGGATATTCCCACTACAGTCCTTAGTTGTTTCCAATCTATGCTTTTGTCACCTTGTTGCCTTCCCTATTTATTTCAGGTAATTTCCTAAGATTTTTGTCATCTTAGTGTCCCCATTTGGGGAATTGCAATATTTGCAAAAATGGTTGTAAAGTTTTTATGGGAAAGGGAACTTTAAATATTATTTTGGGTATTATAGATATTTTATTTTCCAAAAAAGTCAAGACAACAGCTTATTGCATTTATCACACTTTAATAATTTTGGTTATAAAAAACAAGCTTGCCACCATAAAAATTTCTATAAAACAATAAGAAAGCAGTAGTCAAATGCAACTGTGTTGACAGTTTGAAACGCAACATAGTAAAAAAGCTATCCCAAATAGACTCTGAAATCACTTGTTATTCTACAATCATTGCCTTATTATTATAATTATATTCCCTTTATTTCCTTTGCTTCATTGCCTTCACAAACTTGATCACCTTCTATGCTTTCATCACATCCATTATTGTTCTTCCTGCTACTTCCAACCTTCAATAACATTCTACTACTACCATCACTGGGGTTGTGGGTGATCCAATGCAATCTATGAACAACTCGAACTCGACTTTGATTAATATACTTGATTAGGTTTGTTCAAATTAGTGAATAAACAAACATGTATATTTTTTTAAAAGCTCGAAGGTTAAATGAAGAAAACTAAAACACGATCCAAATCATTTATTTATGTTCATGACCAAACTCGTTTATTGTCAAACAGGTAATCACATTTTAAATGTCTTAGAGTAAGTTCGATGATAATTTGTATCATATATGATATATTATTCAATATTATTTGATAAAATTTGATTAAATAGAACCTATTTAATTATAAATTTAATGATAACATATTATAATCTAATATCAATATTCAATATAATTTAATATAATTTGTTCTTATTTCTTTTTTTCAATGAGATAATTTGCATTACTTAAAGTACTTGATTGCAAGAAAAACTTGCAAATTAATTATTATCTTATTTAAATAATGCAAAATAATTAGATGTTAATTCAAAATTTACTCAATTTTAAATTTAGATTTAAAAAACCACTTATTAAAAACTTTATAAAAAAAAGTCAAGTGCTAATTCATTTTTTCAGCTTGTTTATTTATGAAGTAAATTGCCAAAATAATTCTTGACTATTTACATAAGGTCATTTTAGTCTCAAAGTTTATAGAACTACTAAAATAATCCATGTACTCTTTAAATTGAGGCTGAAATAGTCCACATGGAGAACTATTAGAGTTAAATTTTAAAATAATTTGGGATTATTTTGACATATATATTAAATCTGGGACTAAAACGACCACATGTAAATAGTAAAAGGTTATTTTAATACTTTACTCATTATTAATGCCTTGAACTACTTGTTCAGTTAATATTAACAATTCCAATAAAAGTCAAATATAATTTTAAAAATTCCAATCAAGCTAAAGCCTGAACATATAAGTGAAAGGTCAAATCAAGCTCGAGCCAAGTATTGACAAATTATAATATAACCAAACCAAATTCATTTTAAGAAATACACAGCTCGATGTGACTCGATTACAACCCTAACCATCACTATTTGCTACAGTCTTGTGCTTAGGTCTTCTACCAACTATTGTCCACTACATGCCAAAAAATTCCTATTCCATCTAGATCCTTGAGCAATTTTCGTAGCGGAACTTAAGAAAACGTATGTATTATTAGAATTCAAGTTGGTTGCATGAATTCATTTCTATAATTTTGTGAAATTCCTTTTTTATTTGTCATTCGTAGGTTATAAATAAGACTAAAAGGTATGTAAAATTCATATAACACTGAATAATCAGGTACAAGTCATAGTTTAATATCCTTCATGTACATGCACATTATATTTCACAAATGAGGATGACTACTTTCGATGGATATTTGTTATATACTAACATAAAGCATGATTCTTCCACTCATGATAATTTGTATCATTAATATTATCTATTAAATATTCGTTAATTTTGAATATGTATCTATTGACGCGTGCAATTCAAAGAGTTTTCACTCTTCGAAAATAAAATTTATCAGTTCTTTCATAAAAAAATACAATAATTGAGAATCACATCCCACAAATCTCTGTTAATCGGCAAATTTAAGTTCATCGATAAAATAAAAATGAAACTTAATGCAGCAGGCCTGATAAAAAATACAAAATGAGAAAACATTGAATAATAGGATAAATATGGAAATATCTTTAACAAATAACAAAATATTGTGCTGAATGAAATAATAACAAAAACTCGATACAAAATCATAGCAAAACAATTGAAGAACAGCCATGGTGTTTACCATTGCCATACCTTATGGTGCGAAAGGATGTGAGATCTTAGAAGAGATTTCTTGGATCTACAAATTCCGCAATACTCGCAGTAATATCTTCTGATATCTCTAAAAAGTGGCCTCTGCTTATCGTCTTCATTCACAGCCTCTGTTTCCATCTTAATTGCAAATGATTGCTCTTCAAAGAAAATGGAAAAAATTAGAAATAAATATATTATAATAAACTAAAGAAACAACATGATCCAAGTTGTATGCAATGAATAATAGAAGTGACGATTTCAATAAAGAATATAAAACTATTTATCAAATTTAAACATGGCAGGCATCATTAAATAATAAATCCAGCAAGGTAAATTATTAAACAAAAGAAGCAACAAGCCTTGCACTTTTATGTAATGTTAAAAAGCAAACTAATAAAAAATGTGGTATAGTTGTTTCATAGCAATGAAGACATTCATAGTTACATTCACGACTGTGAATTTAGTGCTTTCAATAAGAAAAAAAACAAACTACAAGAGATGGAAACAAATTGAAATAAAAAAATAAAAAAACTTTAAGAGACAGAAACCAGTGGTTTAAAAAAATACACATATGTCAGTCTTGTATAAAATTCACTAATACATCCTTAAATTTTGATTCCATTATAGCAATAGTTCATATTTTATATAGGGGTTAGCTTACTTATACACACATGATTAGTTTAGCCATCTATTAAACTTCAAAATGAAAAAAAAATTGCTTATGAGGATAAGTTAGTAAAAAGAGAATCGAGAACTTGAGCCTGATTTCTTTCGTCCTTTTTCCTTCTTTTGGAGTGGGGAGGAAATTTATACACACAAAGAATCCCATAAAAATTCCACTATATAAACAAAAAAAGAGCATCATTAAGTCATGTCAACTATAACGAACGACTACTAGGAGTAAACTAATGCAAACCATGCATATTTGAAATGGCATAAAAAAGAGAACATATAATAACATAATGAATCCCAAGTATGATTTACTCGTAGGATATTATGCAAATGATGTTGGTATGCATAATTGTCCCAAGGTATGAATCGATGCATGGATCGCAACTATGATATAATATCATAATCAAGGTACATAAATTAATGTAGCAAATTCATCATATCAACAGCTTCATAGTTCATCCCAACTATTTAAGGCTGGCATTTTGAATACTCATTCAATAAAACAAACAAAAATCAATAAGTACGAGCGTGACTGAACCCAATGGCCCAATGGTTCAGTTCAGAATTAGCCGATTCTAACACGTAAATGGACCTCACCCATGTTCATAAATAAATGCATAATAAAATATTAGAAGATATAAATCATGAAATAGAAACAAATATCAAATTAAGTTTAATCATTTCATGATTGCTTTAATAGTGCTGAAACCAACAATATGACAACATGGATATGGATGCTTATAACATGCTTAATCATGGTTATTAGAAGGCTTCAAAAAATCAAAGCAAACTTATAAGAAATATAAATCACCACCAATGTGCCAACAAGCATGCCATGCGGTGAAATAAAAAAGTGATCTTATAAGAAATTAATCAAACTTACAAAACACATAAAAAAACAACAATACACATGTAACATACAATCAGATGAATTACCTAACTTACTATCTCGAATATGACTGTGGTTTTTATCCTCAAGTATGGCCCTTCTCAAAATCCACAAACCCTAAACTGAATAATCTATGTCAAAATACAGTACACAAAGTATGGATTAAAACAAATTAACAACCAATGTCTCATGTTAATGACTTTTATATTGTAACTCATAAAATCTAATAAATAAAGTCGCAACTACAGTAAGCTTAGATGAGCATATGATAAAAATTATATATATATATATATATATATTAAATAAACAAAATATTAATATATATATATATAAATCAGTTCTCTTGGCTTATAAAAGGAAACATTTTAGGATGGAAAAGTATCCCCTTTGTAATTTAAGGGGCTGTTCGGTAGCAATTTTTTAAAATAATTGAAGTATGATTAATCTAAACCCTGCCAAAAGGGCAAAAATAACAACTTTAAATCCTACAGGATACTAAATCCCGCTTCACCTAGTTTGTCTTGCATTCTGGATTTAGCAAATCCGAGAGTTGCACGGATTAAACTTTAGCCCGTAAGTCGGAAAAAAACGTCTCTTTCTTCTTCACGCCGCTGGTCTCGTCGATGCCTCTCCAGCGAGCTGCTGTCGTGATAACGTCGCTTCTCTGTCGTCGTCTAGGGTTTTAGAATCTGCGGTACTGGCATTCGAGATTTAGAAGCCTGGCTGGTAAGGGAATTAGAGCAGGATTTAAGCTGGATTTAACCTAACTCTTGCCAGACCGTCATTTTGGACAAAATAAGGCCTCGGATTCGATAAATTCGGATTTTCACGGTCTTCGGCCTTAAAGCCCGTCAATCGCAAGCCTCGCTCAAAAAAAAAAAAAAAAAAACACGTGAAGTTACCTTTGGCAACAGTTTCTGGTAGGAGAGGAGCGGAAGGAGGAGAAAAATGGGAATTCGGAGTCACTGTAAGACGCGATCCGATCGTTGCGTCTGTATTGCGAGGGTTCGGTCAAGAAGAAGACGGTTTTGGAGAAAACAGAGCGATGGGGAGTGACAGAAGGGTACGCAGGAACCTCCGCGGTTATGGGAGTTGGTAAAAAACCCTAACCCCTCAATAACCCGGGGTTGGTGGGAGAGAGAGGAGTGATGTAGGTGAGGGTTTTATTTATTTTATTTTATTTTATTGATTTATTATTAATTATTAACAGATTAATTATATGTAAATAAATTTATATTTATCATTTAATTGATAATCAATAAAAAAACAGATATTAATTTTTTTATTGATTCAATAATTAATATAATTAATAACTAATTAATTATTCTCTATTTAATAAGTATTTTAATAAAATTTATATTACTAATTAATTAGTTTAGTAAATATAAAATTCTTAGTTATCAAAATTTGAAATAAAATATTAATTGAATTTAAGAAGTTAAAGGATTTTGATTATTTTGAAAGATAATTTAAGAAATTCTATGATGTATTATTATTAAAGTTTAATTACTATGATGGATTTTCAAATCTTCAAAACAATTGACGAACAATTTCACATGATTTAACAAGATTTTAAATTTGTTTGCTAAATCAGTTATCAAACAATTTTGAGATTTATCCTTTTCCAAATTTACTAAATTTGGATTTACAAGATTTACTAAATCTTATATCTTAAATCTCATCGCAGGCCAATCAAAAAAAGGCAACAATGAATCCTACAAGATAACAAATCCGTTTTGATTTAAATCCAAAATTATGTAAATCTAGTTGGAAGGTGGATATACATGATTTAGATTTGAAGCACACAAAAAGGGTGCGAGGAAGACGAGTGTTAAATCGGGTGGCTCCAATTGTGAAAGAGAGATAAATGTATGTCGTGATCCCGTTGTTGTCCTCCCAGGTGGCTCCAATCATGATTGTACTACGAGGGTTTCGATCACAATATGAGGATACAAGGGAAGGTAGGCGATTGTTTCCAACAAAACGAGAGAGGGAAGCGAGGTAAGCGTGGCTTGTGGGCAGAGGTGCAAGTAGAAACTATGGCTCAGAATAAAATATAATTTAGTTTAAGTTATATTTAATTAATTTAATTGAATAACAAATAAGAATTAATAGCCAATTAATATATTATCAAGTTAATTATAATTGTGTAAATTTATGTTTAACTATTTTATATTTAGTTAAGAAAAATAATTTAAATATTAAAATTTGCTTAATTTCACTAAAGTTTAACTAATTATTTATTAGTTTAATAATTAATTAATTATTAACATAATTGAAGTTAAATATTTAAATCAAATAATTAAATTTAATAAATAGATGTAATGTTAAATTTATATTACAATTAAAAACTATTAATACTAAAATAATTTGCCAAAAAATTTCACATACTTTAATCAACCTTAATATAAGCCCAATCATAAAATTTTCAAAATTAAATATGTAATTGTCGGCACTAAAGAGTTGGGGGAGTTGCTCGTAAGAAGTTATCGGTCGCCGGAATCGAAATTTCGTTGCCCGCTTTGGAATGACGTTTAATTTACATATATATAAGTTCTAAGAAAAATATGAAATCAAACTAACCCCATACTTTTCACAGTTTAAATGAAAGAGCGTTATATTTCAAATCTTGTATCTATCCCGATGGATAAACACAAAACTTGAAGATGAAGCTCGATCAAATAAACTAACAAATATATGACATTCGTTTGGTCTGCGAAAACCATTTTATTTGCCGACAAGTTCCCCTATTTAATACAAAGAATTAAATAAGGTTTATATTAGGCTGGGTTCGGAAAAACTTTCTATAAGGGCAAGCCCCTATAATTAATTACATCTTAAATGACCGATGTCACTTAAGAAAACTCTCGATAAAAATCAGGGAATACTATATTCAAAGATGTCAAAAGGATATGACTTTTCAACGAAATCGGACCAAAGAGTGTCAAATGGGAAAGACTCAAATTCAGAACATTGTTGAGGAATCCAAATGAAGAAGAACTAAGAGAGGTCATAGATCCGGAGGCAAACATCGATGACTTCCCAGTTTATCCTATGGTTTGGCTTCAATTTTGAGGAGAAATTATTCAAGTATTTCATTCTGTCAATTTTATTTAATTATGGCTTATATTTGTGTGACACGGTCACACAAGTCGCCTATAAGATATGAGGGTTTACGTCATATCGGATGACAACCTCGGAACCTAGAACGAGTTTGGGCTTAAATTGCACAGTCTGGCTGTGCAAAGGCCTAAAAGATAAAGAGAGGATTTATGTCGCGCTAAGCGGACTACCTCGAGATCATATGGTTTGTTGTTTAATTCTAAGGAAAGGTTTTGTTAATGTAGACATGTTTTGTTGTTGAATATGGCTGTGCTGCCCACCGCATTTGCTCCAAGCTCCTCGTCGTTGCAGCGTCGAATTTAATGATCAAATTGTTTAAGGTTGAAATAATGCAAAAGGTGATGTCACCAATTTATCGTGGGTACCACCTAGGAGCTGCTACTGGCATCCTAATCTAGGGAAGAGTGTAAAAGAAAAACATGTTAATATGCAATGAAATCATGCAGTGGTAATGTGAAAACTGTACATCCAGCAAAATAATATACACTGAAGGATTGAATAAGCAAACTACACTGGGCAGGTGTGTGTGTAATGTGTGTATGAGAAACGAAATAAAATAATCAAAAAGGCGGAAAAAATTGAAAAAGAACATTCCGTATAAATCCCGTAATAAATCTGAAACAAAACAAAGTTCGTAGGAAATCTGAATAAATCCATAGAGGTAAACTTGTAGAAAATCTGAAAGAAAGAACGAAAACGAAGAAAACACCATAATGGACTACAAGTTCAAGAATACCGTAAGCTTGGTGGTGAGAAGGAGTGAGAGCTGTGTTGTGGACCACAACCTTAAGTACTTACTACTAGACTAACTTTCTGCAGAAGGCAGCCCTAATCCGACTCGAGTAGCCAACCGTGGACCTTTGTAAAATTTTTCATACATTTCAGTCTAGATCTGCATGCAAGTAAAGATCGTACGTAAGTAGGCTGTTTTGTAGTGGGGGTGATTTTGTATTTTTCAAATATAAAATAATTCGATCCACAAGTTGAATATTCTAGTCGAACTAGGATTGCTAACAACTTTAGATTGTCGGCGGTATAAACCCCAAGGCTGGGTGAATAGTATCTGTAAAAAATTCCCTACTCTACCCTCTCTAGGGTCTCTGGGTTGGGAGATACTATTCTAAGGGACCTGGTTCTCTATAATGTAATTTTATCACCGTCCATAACCTCACACACTCCACTTACAACCTTGCTTGATGGCCCCACATATAGCAAGAGTGTTATACGTGCACACCCGCGCGTCCTACACAAGTGCGGGATTTAGACCAAGAAGCAAGGAGAAACAAGGGATGAGGGAACAAGGAGGAGAGAGAGGAGAAGACAATCTGTCTAACACAATTTTGAAAATGAGGTGGGTTGTTTCTCAATATCAAAGAAAACCAGAATACATGTCAAAGCAGTTAAACCTCTAACAGCGTGGTGCAGGGATGCGAAGTGATGTAGTATCTGATATAATGTAGGATGCGGAGTTGATGAAGTGGTGAAGTGTAGTGGTGGAGCGATGAAGTTAAAATAATAATGAGAAGTCAAGATACATATGAGAAAACCAAAGTCAAAAAAAGAACAAAGAAGCAACATGCCCAAGTAAGTAAAAAAAGGGGGCGAACCCGATCGAGAAAAATCAGGCAGCATAATAGCATAAAAATGGATTTTTCACACCTGCAATTTGCACAACTGAGGAAGTAGGCTGAAATGTTTTATATAAACGAAAGCAAAGAAACTTCACCCGAAAAACTCGAGAAAAATCGTCAAAAGACTCGAGACAAGAAAAGTGTGAGGAAATCGACAAATCGGTGAAAAATCATAGAAAGCACAGAAAAATCCCAAAAAAAAGTGACCACGAGTGCTTTGAAGTTCACAGAACTATATTCTAGCAAATCAATGGTGAAGTAAAGAGCTCACCTGTATTATTATCAAGAGTACAAATGTCATGGTAGTATCTTCGTCGATAATCAAATATCTAACTATACACTTATCACTTTGGTATGACACCAAAAATGAAATTTAAAATCATTGGACTCTTATGTATTTGCATATCTAACATCTAAACTTTCATTATTTTATCTTCATGCCACCTACTTCTCATGTTCTTACGCATCTTGCACCTCTTTAAACATGCCATAGTATGCCTCTTGCAAATCTCACCGGAATCAAGAAGTATACATTCTAAAAAGGAATTCAGAATAAATATGTCAAAGACATGAAAATAACATCAAAATTTTTCTTTCTGATTATATTAATTCTCACATAGACATTATATAAATAGATACCAAGCCTTAGGTATGTTACAAATAAGCACTCAGAGTTATGTCATATGCAAGTATAGGAAAAATTGAATGGCACGTATGTACAAACTGAAGTTGGGTGTTGGGTATGAAATGTAAAAGAATTGTGGTGTGCATGTAAACCTTCCTTATTTCATTTCCAGTATACATTTCCCTTTCCTTTTTGCAGGACCAAAGTATCGCGAACACATAAATTTTTTTTATTTTTACCAATAGAATACCAAAACTTGCAGATTTTTACAAATCGAGGACCAAAGCTTGCATATTTTTATAAATCGGCCACACATAAACTACAACCAATTAAAGTTTCAAAACACCAAGGTCCCCCCACCATTGCAAATATTAAATAGAATCCTTTCAGATTTGTTGTAAGAGGGAAGCACCAAGCAACTGAATGTAAGCTAACAAGTTTTCAAGAGCTACGTATGTAAAGCCAAAACAACATTGGGGCCCAAAAACCCCAAGCAACAAACAAAATGACAAAACTCTATCTGCTTAAGGAGCTCCCTTAACGGTAGAAGCAAAGCTAGAGCTACCTATACGAATTCCTCCAAACACTCTGCAACAACAGTGGCATTCAGCAAGCAAACAAGCTTATAAACATGGCAAGTATGCGAGCAATATTTAACCTAAATCCTCTCAAGCAATAAAAGGATGAGTTCAGAACCTACAGGATTTTAAGTCTTGCTTTCCTTCATTATACCACAGCAAAGAAGAGGTC